CCTCGTAGTGAAACTGTTTATAAAAGAAACATCCGTGGAGTGGATTATTTGACCAATGATAACACGTGTTTAATTTTTAATTTTCAACAAGGGAACAGTAAAATTTGTTTTCTTATCTAATGTTTTCAGTGTGAGAGTTGGTAGGTAGTGACATCTTATCAAAGGTTTTTTGATTGATGAAACAAGAATTTTTGGCAATCACAAACAAAGAAGTGTGAGAAGTGCCCTTGCAATTGTTATATATTTGACATGATTGATATTTTAATGAGTAGGTCATAGTGTATTCTCATTTCTCAATTAGCCTATCGAGAGATTGGTTTTACGTTTTTTTTATGTTGAGTTGTGACTTCAAATGCTATGATCAATCTTTTGTCGTTATTATATTATTATTGACTATATGGATGTATTCGAGAAACTGGAGCTCGATGCTCTCTCAACTACTTCAAGAAGATGGGCCACTGATGGATATTTTTCCTTGCACGTTTTAGGGTATTAAAACTATAAAATTACGTATTTGTTTGACCTTTTCATCTGATTGTTGCATTAGTATCTAATTATCTATGCACTTAATTCTCCTATGAGTACGACTACGTTCTACCTTTATAACGATAAAGTGCACAAATAGATAGCGCATTCGACAACTTTGTAGGCTCCAAACACAAACTACCTTGGTATCGCTCTATTTGTTTTGTTTCCCCTTATTTTCTCAAAACGAATCTATCAATAGTTGTTGGGATTATCATAGTATTCTGGTATGTACACAATGGCTTTGAAACTCCGTTCTCTACTTGCATCAGTGTCCTATGTCAGTTGCTTTGGTAAATGGCGGATGTATGCCTTGATATTAGTTATATGAACTTTGTTGATCGATTATCATCTTTTTGTATCGATTTTGATTAACCAATGAGAAGACAAAAATTCATAAAAAACCATCAAACTGATGAAATTTACATGGTTTTTGTGATGTTAGTAATGTTTGAATTCAATACTGAAATTTCTCGTGGTTTGGTACCTAATCAATACCTCTCTTTTTCTTACCCCCAAAGTTCTTACATCACTTTCACACATGTTTACTCTCACTAACCCATATCAAGCTGAAATTTCAATTAATCCAAAACCAAAAAAATCACAAATCTCGTTCTCACAAATTGCTCGATTAGTCCAAACTCTGATTTCGGTTTCCAAAACCCAATCTGACCTCCAACCTACATTAAAAATTAAAAATTATTATTCTCGGTCGCGAAAGAGACAACGAGATTGGAGGGGTAGCAGTAGTGCTCTCATCGACCACATTTTTAGCCTATATTTTTTTATTGATCCAATACAAAACTGTAGTTATCATCGGCGTCTAGCCCGACTGCGGACTTCACTGTGGCGAGAGACACACAAAAACCCATGAGCGAATCTTTGGTGATCGACGGCAGCGACTCAAAGTTTCAGTCTCACCGCATCGATGGTGGGGCGGCCGACGGGAAGTGCGACCACCACCACCACCACCAGACGGAGCCCACGAATGAGACTGATGGCGTAATCGATGGGACCCAGATGCCGATTGAGTCCGATCGCAATCAGCAGCCGCCGATGGCGGCGGCGGAGGTGGCCAAGTCCGGTGAGGTTCCGGGAGATCGACCCCATCAGATGTCATTCGATAAAGCAAGTGGCTTTGTGAAAGACATGAACAACTTGGTCGAGATGTTGTCCAAATTGAATCCCATGGCGCAAGAGTTTGTACCTCCTTCTCTCGCCGGCAACAACCACGGGGTTAATCGGATCGGATATACTCGCGATTTTGGGATGTTTGGTAATTTCTTTAATGGCAGTGGGAATTCTGAGAAAAGGGTATGTCCTAAAGTTTCATTCTTGCTTCTTCATTTGGTATTTTGGTGTTCTGAACATTTACATTGGCTGAGATGGGAATCCATAGGTGGAAAAGCGATTCTTGATTCGGGTAAAATGGATTGTGGTTTATGCTGATTGGGTTACTTTCCGTGGCTGGTGTTCCAGGGTAAGCCTAATTTTAACCAAGGAAGGAGAAGAACCAACAGTAGGAGGAATATGGCTCAGCGGGAAGATGTAATTAAGAGGACTGTTTATGTGGCTGACATTGACCAACAGGCAAGCGAACGATTCTCCATATGGGCTCTGCTTTTGCGCAGTTCCCAGTGAAATGTTCAGTTTAATTGAACCTTGTATCTTGGATTTCAGGTTACTGAAGAGCAGCTTGCGGGTCTGTTTATTCATTGCGGACAGGTTTTGTGTCTATTTTGCTTGCTGATGACAATATTAAATCCTGGTTTTGGATTTGTAATGTGACTGATTTCCTGATACTTGATCTGGTGCAAAAGGTTGTTGATTGTCGTATATGTGGCGATCCTAAGTCTGTTCTTCGCTTTGCGTTCATCGAATTTACTGATGAAGGTATTGCCAGAAACCATCTGTTGTTTGGTTATTGCTCTAATTCCCACCTCCTGCAACTTTAATCACTCTAGTCGGTGCCTTGCAGAAGGTGCAATTGCTGCTTTGAGTTTATCTGGGACTGTGCTTGGATATTACCCACTAAAAGTGCTCCCTTCCAAAACTGCGATTGCACCTGTTAACCCAACATTTTTGCCCAGGGTGAGACTGTTGGCACAGTCTATTTCTACATATTGAAAGTTGTGACTTTGTGCTCCCATGGTCTTGAATTAAGTTCAGTTTTTAGTCCAACTAATGGTTGCTATGGTTCTCAGTCTGAAGATGAACGTGAGATGTGTGCTAGGACTGTGTACTGTACAAATATAGACAAGAAGGTAATATGGGAAGCCCTGCCATTTTAAAATTCCTTAAAAGGCTATTAGAACATTGTGTCATGGTTTTCTGCTTTCTTTCAACTGCAGGTTAACCTAGGAGATGTGAGACTATTCTTTGAGTCCTTTTGTGGAGAGGTTTGTATTTGGATTTCACAATTTGAAGGCAATAACGCTTTGTATTCTGGGCTGTACTAAATCTGTGAAAGTTCTTTTTTCATTCAGGTTCGGCGCTTGAGGCTTCTTGGAGACTATCGTCACTCAACCCGTATTGCTTTTGTGGAATTTGCAGTGGTAACTACCCTTATATGGCAAAATGTTCTTTTCTTATGTTTCTTTTATTTGGCATTTAAGATGTTTGACACGCGTATATGTTCGTTTTTATACTTAGAATTCATACTGCTTCTTGGGATGCCACCCGTTCGGTCACTTTCCAACATTTTGTTCCTGAGAATGCTACCATTTGTCACTTGCAAATAATTGATGTTTGGAGGTGAAGATATAGGACTGTGCATACTTTTTCTTATATTTGTGGTAGAGTGTGGAGTCATGATTTATATTACTGTTCGTATCAACATGAATACCTACCATGGCATAGAATAGAACCATTGGAGATTTGTAACCTGTCAGGTGTCAAGGCAATGATGCTATTTCTATTGGCCACCGAGACAGTTTTCATTTTCATGTCAGCTATAGTACCCAGGTTTCTTTAGCTGTTCTGCCTTTTCTTTGATTGACTTGAACTTCATTTGGGCAATTAGAATATCTAATGTAACTCACAACTTTTCTTGTTCAACCTTTAACTCATAAGCGAATCAGTTAGTGACATCTGCCCCAAATTGATAAAAACCAATAGCTTGACGGTTCTAGAAAACTGTGGTGATTATGAAGGGACCAGCAAGCACGAGCATGTTGTAGTGGGCATTAGTGGAGTCTTTGGTGTCTCCTGCAAAGTCTTTTGCTGCCAAGATTGGTTCTTTTGATGGTTATAAGATACTCAAGCAATTATTGCTAGTGATGGTAGGAAATTGGCCTAGAGGGGTTATAGGTTATGAAAAGCGTAGGTGGTGCTAAGTTAAGATTAGATTGGGCTCTGGCTCTCTGTGTGGCCAGATATTACATAACCTATTATTAATGCACACATGTTGGTAGAAGTAACTGATTATCTTTTGGAGTTCAAGCGAATCCAATTGCAATCATAAGAGAGAATTCAACACAGGATTCTGTACATTGAAATGCATGTTAATCTTTGCATCTGTTGTGTCTTGACCTTCAGAAACCATCTGATTTGAGCTACTGGCTGGTCTCTGAACTATAAGTAGATAAGTTCTTACATGTCCTGGACATCTTTATCAAATTGTTGGAGAATTGACAAACTTTGTCACTGCAATAGCTGTTTATTGATGACTTAAAACCAGAATAACTCGAAACATAAGCTTTCATAGTTGAGGTCGTAGCTATCTGTACCTTTTGAAAATTACAACTTCGTAACTATTGTAGACTTCTACACTTGTGGTTTGCGGTCATGTTGCAACTTGAGTTTTCTGTTGCCTACAGCCTGAAGGAATTAAACTTCTATGTTCATTTTGATGAAGAATGTGTCTTCCTTGTTGAAGTAGGATAGCTACAGTGAGAAAGTATGAGGAAGGGCACTTCCTGGAAATGAACGTTACCTGACTTATAAACCTTGATCTAATAAACAAAGCGATTTTGAATCTTTAGTATAGCTGTTTGTCAACTGAATGATATGAGACTTGCTAGCACACAGTAAAGTTGAGTGTATTTTTGTTGGTTTGAGCTCTCTTTCTCCATTATCCTGCTAATGAATAGAATTTGTTGCCTTGCAATTTGATTTAATCAGCTTTCTGATACTGCAGGCTGATAGTGCGATCGCTGCGCTCAACTGCAGTGGTGTATTTCTGGGAACCTTGCCCATAAGGTAGTGTTGGCTGCTGGTCATTTCATTCTCGTTTATCTCCCCCCGCCCAAGTTATTTATCATCGCTTATATTTTATTTGACCTTGTAAGTTTCTTTCACCACATTCTCCTGACAAATCGAGTTCTGCATCAACTGTTGCAGGGTTAGCCCATCAAAGACACCAGTTCGTGCTCGCATGCCTTGACCACCTTTCGCCTGAGAGAATCATCCTCCAATATGCAAAGCTCAAATGCTTCTGCAAAGCCCGGCCAACTCGTTGCTAGAAGTATTTATATTTCATAGTACATAGATGCTGAAACAGGTTTAAAGGGTACTTGCTTTCTCAATCATCCTTCATTTTGTCTGCTGCACTGCAAGCTGCTATCTTTCGGTGCCGCCAGAGGTGTTAGGGAATGGATTGTTTATGGGTGTCTGGATGCTTGGGTCATTAGTTGAATGGGTTTTTGAGGATGTGAATAACTTTGGTTTAATGAAAGATTAATCGACAACCTTCCAATTGGAGAATTGGGGGCAGCTATTCTTGAAGGAGTTGTACGTATGCCAAACAGGGTAAAGCATTTGAGAAGCATATAACACATGGTAAATGCTACAAATTTAACGTCCATGTAATTTTGTGAGACGAATCTGTCTCGTCGAAAACGAGCATCTGACGACAACTAACCCGCCACGTAGATGGTTGTAAGCATGTGTGATCAGCCCACTAGATTAACTTAACTGATATTGCTGTATCCGTATGAACTATGAAGCGATTCTCTGTCCAGAAGGGCTCCTAATACCTATCTTCTACTCCGTTCAGCAGGGCAACACAAGCATATCTCGTATGAACAACAGAAAGCTCCATCTTCCTCACTGCCATTGCCAACGTGCTTTCTCCACTTGTATTCTAATAGTTTGTTTTCACGAATTTAATATTCTGTCGCTTTCATTAGCACCTAAGTGATTGTCTGTCAACTGTTCCAGAGACCACAATTAAAGCGCCTAATTTGCAGCTTAATAAATAAACCGCCAAACCACTTGTTCATTAATTGGCAAGGACCTCTAATCAAAGACTACTTTCAAGTTTGAACCTTCCTCAAAACCATTAAAGAAAGGAAAACGAAGGCTATTCACATCCTCAAAATCCCATCCAGAGCTCCACTATCTATGACTTGACCACAACATCTCAACATCCCATAATAAACAATTGATCTCCCGCCAACACAAAGTTACCAGCTTGAGATGAGATGCATGCAACCCGCAGCAACAAAAGGAAGAGCAAAATGAACCAAGTTCTGTTTTCAGCTTTCTATATATATTATGTAAGGATATCTATAAATACTTCTATGAGCAACTCGATCAGTTCCCAGAGGGCATTGCATCACACAGAGGGATGGTTCATTCTCGTCCAGCATCAGCGCATCAATGGTTTAGGAGCACGAGGGCGCACTGGTGTCTTTGATGGGCTTACCCTGCACCCCAAGCAAGTGATTTGCCAAAATCAAGTTCCAAGATAAAATGGAAAGGGAAAGATAACTAACGACAAAAATTTGTTATCGAAAGATGATAACTGAGGCAATGCTACCTGATGGGCAAAGACCCCAGAACAACGCCACTACAGTTCAGAGCAGTGATTGCACTCTCAGCCTGCACAACGCGGAGGAAAAGTAGGTCATTAAATGGGGGCCATATAGTTCATTCAAAAGGCAGTGAGTTCCCTGAAGCACAATTCACAAACTGATCATAAGCTAACATAAACAAAATCGAATCTTTATGTGTCATCCAGAATACAATTTCACTATCCTTTTGTCATCACACATTGAAGTCATGCTCAGTAACACCATTTCGCTATACTCTACAACAATAGTTTTAACGGTTATAGGAAATATCTTAGTCTGCTGAATCTCCTATCATTCAGCAAGCTAGAAATGCATTAACATAGAAGTCAACCACCTTGAGAATGATCAGACCAGAAGACATGTCCTGTATTTTATATATATAGATAACTTGAGAAAAAGAAAAAAAACTTAGAAGCTTTTAAGTATCAGCCAAAACTTTAAAGCACTTGGCAGTCAGGTGAACTGGAAGTTCAAATCTTCAGTTTTGGAGCATTAATGTAACAGCTTTACAGTGAAAAAGTTTGTCAACTCCCATAGAGTAACGGTCCTGTAACAGGAAATCGCTAATAGGGATGCTCAAAATGAAGGAACTTATCTAGTCCTAGTTAGCTTGACAATCAATACACAAGAAACAAATCTTCCAGTAGTAATTTTCTCCCTCACATTTGCATGTGTATTGAACTGTATTACCCGAGCTAAATTGGCTTCTTAGCAGCTAGTGTGCCTTAAATTAGTTTCCATATAATCGAACACTATCTATTGAGAACATAGCACCAGCCCCACATTTTATAACCTGTACTATAAAGACAAGTAATGATTACCCAAAGCCTACCACAGCATCCTAAAGTTTCATGGTTCATGATGCTGTACGTATCAATCAACAAACCAATTAATAATCAGCAGAAACAAGTTTCAGACTTATCACCTAAATAGTAAGAAGAAACAAAGACCAATGCATCAAACTTCTACCCTGTGCAATTTCTCTACCTTCTATATGTCGTATAAGACAGCTAATAAAGACTAAAATAACTCCAGCTACAACATGCACATTCCTAGAGCATTAGCATTGTAGCTTCCTAGAACTGGACTTTATACACTTTCGAGATTACAGAACGGGATACAACCCAATGGTTTACATGAGTGAAAGGGCACCAAAAATTGGGACATGCATCAGAAAATGTTCCAGCTTAAATGCAAATGAGAGGAGCCTAAAAAGTGAGTTCATTCAATTAGACCTGAAGACAAGGTGCTACTGACACACCTTATAGGTAAGTATTAACATGAAACATTTTGAAGCTTCTTTTATGGCCAATAGAGATGGCAACAATTCCTGGAAGTTGGAACCCTCTGGCAACCCAGTTTCCAACATAATACAGTCCTTATTCAAGTTACTTAAGGCAGTAACACAAATCACAACTAATCCAACCAAACACCTCTACCAGCCAAACTGTTTGACTCAAGAACATAACTGTAGTGTGGAACTAATCTCTTTAACTTTCTAAAGTAGACATGGCAGGAAACCAGAAGCGTAAGTGCCATAGATGATGCACATGAAATCCCGGCTAAGTATCAACCTACAATTCATGGTTGAAATGTTAAAGAGTATACCTTGCTAACTATAAGGCCCATAAATAAGAGTATTTACAAGCCAACAAAAAGATATTCTGGCAATGCAAGTGCTAAAGATGTTGACACCAGTTTATTTTAATACCACGTCCAACAGCGGAAGGAAGCATATGATTGCAAATAACAGATGTCTCAAGAACAACAGACTACTGAACTGAAGTACCCACATAAAAAAGGCATATTATTACATGAAAGGAAAACATAAGAATCATACTCTTATTAGTATTTACCATTGCAAACTCGACAAAAGCAATACGAGTTGAATGATGATAGTCTCCGAGGAGCCTCAGGCACTGAACCTGTTTGGAAAAAGTAACAAATAAGGCACCATCGAGATACTTAAAGAAAGATAACTTTGCAAAATTGTTATATGCTCTAATACAAACCTCTCCACAAAAAGATTCAAAGAAAAGTCTAACATCTGCTTGAGATATCTGCATTTGAAGGAGAAGAAAAATATCATGAGGAGAGAATGTTCCCACAATCCTCTAAGGAACTAAAAAACCTGAACAGAGCTTCCAGAATCACCTTCTTATCTATATTCGTACAGTATATTGTCCTAGCACACATCTCACGTTCATCTTCAGACTGAAATAAAAGCAGTGTGAGAAGAATTAGAACATGAACAAGGGACAATTGAAACTCTTCTTTCCACACTCTTAACATCTCAATGTTATATAAAAGGCAGTCCAAAATCACACATAAGTCAACAAGTCACTCTCACCCTTGGCAAAAATGTCGGGTTAACAGGTGCAATCGCAGTTTTGGATGGCAGCACTCTTAGTGGGTAATATCCAAGCACAGTCCCAGACAAATTTAGAGCAATCCTTGCACCTTCTGCAGGCACCCGGTCGGTGTCATTAAAAGTTCTCGTTGCAATTAAAGGACAAGTGTAATGCAGCAATATGGAAAGCATGCTTTATTTGGTAATACCTTCATCAGTAAATTCGATGAAAGCGAATCGAAGAACAGAATTAGGATCACCGCATATACGACAATCAACAACCTTTTTCCACCAAACAAGCATCATCACAAGATCAGTCATACTGAAAGGCACATTTATTAGCAAATCGATATTGTCATAATTACGCAAAAACATTTGTATTACTTGTCCACAGTGCAAAAATAGACCCGCGAGCTGCTCTTCAGTAACCTACAAAAACAAAGAGAAAGAAACAATAAAAGGAAAATCAAGATACAAACAACAAATCAAACAACAAAAGAGAGCTCAAATGCAAATTGCTCACCTGTTGGTCAATATCAGACACATATACTGTCCTCCTGATTACCTCCTCACGCTGAGCCATATTTCTCCTACTGTTGGTTCTTCTCCTTCCCTGATTAAAATTGTTCTTCTGCAACACAAGAAAACGTAAACAAATCAACACCGGCAATCACAATCCCTTTTTGGGTTCTAGACAAAACAATGGTCATTCATATCCCACAGTAAGCAAAGGAATGTAGATATGCAGATTTAGGACATTACCCTTTTAGTATTTTCATTGCCATTCCCAATAGGATTGAGCATTCCAAAATTGTTAGCATACCCAAAGCCGTTCCCCCAAAAGCCATGATTGTTAGCTAGAGAAGGAGGCACAAACTCTTGAGCCATGGGATTCAAGTTGGACAACATCTCCACTAGCTCACTCATATCATTAGCACCATTAGCTTTAGCAAAATTCATCTGATTGGCACCACCACCTCCAAACCCACCACCAGACTGCGCCACCGCCATCATCGACGGCTGTTGCTGACTGCTATCGAACCCATTCGGCATCTGGGTCCCGCCGTTCTCGCCCGTCCTTGAACCAGCAGCAGCCGTTGTCCCATTCACGCGCGGTGGCTGGTCGTACTTGTCGTCACCAACCACACGATCACCGTTCTCAGAGTGAGAATTCATGTCTCTACTGTTGATCACCAAAGATTCGTCCACGGGTTTGGTGTTCTCGAGGTGATTAGTTTCCTTTGGGTCCGATGACACTTCACTAGTGTCGAAATTCTGAGTGGTGACCCCGTTTTTGGGCACAGCATTCTCAGCAACAATCGCCATGATCACCAAGCACCCGGCTTTTTTCCCCCTGGTATCAAAAGAAACCCCCTTTCTTTAGTGACTCCCTCCTGGTGATTGATCAACCAAAAGGAACGATTTTTACATCAGAAATGGAAGAACCTCAAGAACCCAGAAAGGAAAGAAATGACGCAATAGATCAAAGCAATTCAAGAGTTGTTCTAGATTGAGGAGCTCACTCTTACCTTTGCCTTATCTAAACGATTCCCAAAGAGAAAACACGACAGCAGAACCGCTGAGGGGAGGACAAACGAAAAACCCTCTTGAGAGAGAGATCGTCTTTATGAAGAGAGCTGAAGGGAAGGGAAGGGAAGGGAAGGACAGAGCCGGAAAAAACAAAAACCAGCTGCAAACAATTTTCTGATTGCTGACACAGAGAGAAATGGAAATGGTTAAAACAGAGAGCAACTTTTTCTCTTTTGTAAATTTTTTAACTTTGCTTTACCCAGACGAGCATTCTTCCCACTGCTTTTAAATTAATAATAATCACAAAAGTCGATTTGATTCTTTGCAAAGAGAAGGAAAGCGAGGAAGAAGAACTCGTTGCTCGGGACTCGGGAGTAGTTGAGAGAGGGATTGGGAGAGAGATGGTTTGTTTGTGTGTGTTGTTCTTCGGATCGTCCGTTTGTGTAGGGGCACTACGGACCTTCTTGACAACTTAATTGCTCTCTTTCTCTTATCGCCTTTCTCATCTTTTTACTGTTTACGCCATCGCCATATCCGATATCAAACCGGACAAAATATATGATGCCAAATCTGTACCATATCAATCTGCCAAATATACTTAGATGAGCAGACTTTGGGTTCAGCATCTTTACCACAAGGCAATAGGTGTTAGAACTTAGAAGAGAGCAATAAACAATGGAGCAATGTTGCATGATTCACTATCCAATTTAATAATGTTGGTGATTTATCAAATTTTATCTATTTGGTAACTCATTAGGTCGCTTTACTATCAAGTTGCAAATAGATTCGGACTAAAAAGCGAACTAAATTAATATTTCAAGTTCTATTATTGTGGAGCATAAGAAGTATTTTTTGGCTCAATGGCTCGCAACTGTTCGGATTCCGGGTGAGTTTGTCGAGTTGTAGTTTGACAAGTTTAAAGAGAGCTTATAATCTTGAATGTGTGAAGTTGTGGGTTGTGAAACTCGCTCAGTGCAACATGGACTTTAAATTTAATAAAAATCTCAAGGCAAACGTGTATTAAATGATTTTCCGTGACATCAAGAATGAAGAATGTGCTAACTGTTAAGTAAACCATATTTCCAACTATTACTTTGCACAAATGACAGTATCACCGTATCAGTGATTTTGAGATGTACGTAGAGGTCGTTTGCTTGTAGGTTTTGATGAGCGATTATGCCCAAAATCTCATAAGGGTTGGATTATTGTCCAAATTCATGGTTATTGATAAAAATGAGATCGACATAAATCCGTGGGACCCACAAATGTGAATTTTTATTTGCTCAAAAGTCGTGGACTCCACGAATTATAAAATTCCACCTCATCATGTAACTAGAGCCGCTGGGTAATCGGGCCGGACCCGATGCCGAGGAAACAGATGCACCCGAAACCGTACAGCAGGCCCAACTGGAAGGGCCCATTTTGAGAATTTTTGTATTTTGGAGATACGGAAAAGAGGAACCCTAATCCCATTATCAATCTCCCCCTTTCTCAAGCTCCGCTTCTGCCTGTCTTCGCCTCAGTCATTGATTGCCGCCACCTACCGCCGTCTCCAACAGCTAGCCGTCGTCGTCGCGCCGCAACCCGTCCTCGCCGGTGCAAAGTCTGGTCCTTTCTTTGCCGTTTTGTGTGGTGATTCTGCCACCGTCCATTACTTTTCGTCGCAATCAACAGCATCGCCCCATCTCTCTGCCAATTTCTCCTCCTCTTTTCCGGTGAAAGCTGCAGAATTTCCGAGCGGGCCGGTTTTACGAGCTTAGATCGGAAGCAGAATCAGAGTTTCGGTTTTGTCATCGTCTTGGTTTCTTTCTGCCTCGGGTAAAAGCTTCTACCCCTGCTAATTAAGTCATTGCTCGCAGATTGCGGTTGCTCGCTCTTTTGCCTACAGTGAGCCAAAAATGGGAATTGGTGGCTGCTCATCATTGACGAGTTTTACTAGCTCATAGACAAGTCTCAAGAACCCTATAAACAAAATGTCCAAAGACTCGTACTTGCGAACTGTCCTTGTCTTTGTTGCATAGCTCGAGGAGTGTGTTTTGAGAAGTTTGAGTGAGAATGTCCATTTGATCTTTCTGGTTTGCCCCATTCTTCACAGATAATAGGAGTAGCAGGATAATTTTAGGTGCATTTTCTTATTAGAAACATGGGCAGCTTTGAAGGCTTTCCCTTTTGTTTTGAAGCTTCGTTTTCTTGAAACTTAGTGGCATATTGTGTCCAACTAGTATTCGTTTCGGGAGATAAAGCCATACCACTAGATTGAGTTAAAATTTTCTTAGCTACCTAGTTAGGTTCATTGGTTATGCATTATTGCATTTTTAGAAGCTCTCATTGTTTGAAGCAGGGGAACTGGACACTATGCATATTTTGTCCGGCTTTTTTTTTGTCGCATTGTAAAGAGAGCTGGTTGAGGTAAATGCATTGATATATGTGAATATTACCAAATATCATGACACAAATGCTTTGTTGATGATAGATGGCAAGCGCTTGGATTTGAGCTTTGCAATCATACATAGGGATATAGAGAGGGAGTGGGAGAATCAGGGTGGAGTTATGGGTCTTATTTTTTTTATGGAGGTTCTTGCTTGTGCTCTGAAGAAATATACGTCTGCAATATTTCATGGGAGAATGAGGAGACCAAATTAAATTTCAAACTTATTATTGCTTTGGAGCATCTTGGAGCAATTGAGCAATGGAGCTTATGGAGCAAGGCTCACTTGGAGGATTGCTCAATTGGTTTGCTTCATAGTTTTGTTTTGTTTCTCTCTTGCATATGTTTCATCAGATTACACACTGATGATAAACAGAATAGAAGCAAAGAAGGCTACTTTATAAATGTTGATTCCCTTTTTTGTGATTATGTGATTCCCATGGTTTCAGCAGTGAAAGCTTTGCAGTATCAGAATGAGTGGCCGTTTCTCTCGAACAATCTATTGTGGCAACCTGCCCGCAGATATACGAGAATCTGAAGTTGAAGATATATTCTACAAGGTAGGTTTTGCATTCGTTTTTATTTTTTCCTTTGTAGTCATTGATAATAAGTTGTATTACTCATGTTATCTGTTAATAAGATTCCCATTGTAGTGTATGCTGCTAAACCCAGCAAACGAATCACATATATTTCACATTGTTCCCAGTATTGCTGCCCTAGGAGGGTTTTCATAGCTCCAGTAGGCTATCCTAATGCATCTATATAAATTCTATGGAACCATGCAGTGTTTCTGTAGTTTGTTGATAACACCTGAAAGTTACTATTGGCAAAAATAAATCTTTTCATGGGCGATATCATCTTATGCTCGTGTATTCTTTGATGCAGTATGGCAGGATTCTGGATATAGAGCTGAAGATTCCTCCTCGCCCTCCTTGTTATTGTTTTGTTGAGGTAAGAGGCTTGCTTTATCTTAATGCCCCCAACTGGTATTCTCTGGACCTATGGCTGTTCTCCTTTTCATTTCCTTCTCAAGTGTTGTTTGTGATGACTCTGGATTAATGTTAAATCTCACTTTATATTTGCATCCAGTTTGAAACTTCTCGGGATGCTGAAGATGCGATCAGGGGACGTGATGGGTACAATTTTGATGGCTGTCGTTTGAGGGTAATAATAACTACCTAACCTTACTGTTCTTAATCTACATGGAGTCTATATCTTAGCTGTTATATGACTCTTTCAGGTTGAGCTTGCTCATGGTGGAAGGGGACCTTCTTCAAGCGATAGGCGTAGTGGTGGCGACGGCTACGGTGGTGGTGGTGGTCGTGGTGGTGGAGGAGGAGGTGGGGGCCGGCATGGTGTCTCCCGCCATTCTGAATTTAGAGGTTGGTTTTGAGAACAGTGTATTAATTCAAGACAGAAGTTGTATAATTACTTTTGTACTAATTCAACTGTTCTTTTTGTTTTTTAGTAATTGTCCGTGGGCTCCCTTCTTCTGCTTCTTGGCAAGACTTAAAGGTTTGAAGTGCTTGTGTTCTCTAATTGACTTGTAAACTAGTTTTGTTGTATGTTCACTGGATACCTAAGTTATCGTTTGTGTTTCAGGATCACATGCGGAAAGCTGGCGATGTTTGTTTTGCTGAAGTTTCGCGTGATGGTGATGGTATATGATTATTACCATATTACATCCTTCACATCTACACTTGTTTTTAAATAGTTAGATTGGAGAAGTGTGTTTGTTGTAGCTTTTAAACCAGCTTTTTTTAGTTTCTTATTTCGTAGCTAAAACAAGAACTCCCATTATGTTCCTAGCTTATGCCATATTCTCTATAACCTTCAAGTTCAACTGGCATGTGTTTAGCATCAAATGCTTGTTCATAATATTCCATGTAATTACTAAGAGATATCTTATTTGTTCAGGGACATTTGGCCTTGTTGACTATACCAACAGCGATGACATGAAATATGCTGTAAGTAATCTCCATGAGTGCACCACCAACTCATCCACCTTGTTCTGCAAGTCACCTGTTTCAAATGTGTTTTCTTAACTGCATCCTTTTTATTCTGTTTCAGATTCGGAAACTTGATGACACTGAGTTTAGAAACCCTTGGGCCAGATCCTACATTCGGGTAAAAATGCATTCTACCTCAACTGCTCCTTCGGTGATGTAAAATTGTGCTTCAAGACCATATGGTCGTTTTTGGTTTACTTAGTTTCTTCCACATTTCAAATCGTTTAGGTGAAGAGGTATGACAGCTCACCATCAAGAAGCCGCAGCAGAAGCAGAAGCCGCAGCAGAAGTCCAAGAAGGGACAGAAGGTGCTAATTCCTCTAAATTATTATGAACTCTTGGTTGATTATTTTTTTCTTGTTTCCACTTATAAAGACATCTATATGTTTTCTTGTACTCAGCAAATCTGTGGGACGATCAGTTTCAAGGTCCATGTCGAGATCTAGATCAGCATCACCTGCTAAATCACCAAGGTGCTTATTAAATTCTGCCTCCTTCCCCGTGTCTGTGCTTAATCGTTTTCATCGTAATGGGTTTATTCACCCACCATCTATCTTCCTGTTCACTTGTGTTTGCAGGGCTAGATCAAGGTCAAGGTCTGCTTCCCCTGAAAAGGTAATCTCATAAGCTTGCTTTCTACTCTTTAGGCTTATGGACAAAGGATTTATCTGTCTGATGGACTAAATTCAATTCCTTGTTACTTGCTTCAGGCTCGTTCGGGAAGCGCCTGAGTGATTGAGACCAAACTGAGAGCATTTCATGGCCTATACCCACCTGTTGGGGTTTAATGCTTTGAATCATTGAGACTAGCTGCAGTTTCGAGTTCTATGGTACTGATTGTTTATCTTTATTCGTTGCTTGCTTAGGGGTTATGTATGAAGTATGAACTAGAGTTGGGTTTTGTTGGATCATTCTGTGTAGTTGCTCATCAATGGTGTGACACTGACGTTTATTTGGAACACTTTTGCCGCTGTGTGCGACTGGATTCTTGTTTGACTTGGCTATGTTGAGACGTCAGTTGTATCGATTTGACTTGTGACTTGGTTGTTTGAGGGGTAAATTGCAAGGTTGGTCACTAAAAGTATTAAAAAGTTCATGTTTGGTCAAGTATTTTATTCCATTTGTGGTCCCTGAAAGTGGTTAACGTTTCACCTTTGGTCACTTTTCGTTAACACCGTTAGTATTTAGCTGACGTGGCTAACAGACATGATGATTCACCCATTTTTAACTCTCCACATCATAAAACCTCACCCGCCACATCAGCATAACCCAACCCATAATCTGGCCTTTCCATCTCAACCCACGCAGCCCAAAAAAATCCAATCAACCTTTTACAAAAAAAAAAAAAAATTTAAACCTTCTGTTGCAATCCCTAACTCCGTCAATCCTCCATTCCACGAATCTCCATCGCACACACCAATTCCCCGAGCAGTTCCCTTCCCCTCCAATAAAGCATCGCAGTCCAAATCCCCTGAGCAAGTCAGGGTCGAGATACTGTCCAAATCCCTCCCCTACATCCACCGATTCGGAAGAAAAATAATCGTCGTCAAGTACGGCTACACCGTCATGAATGAAACACCTGAAACTTAAGGTCCTGGTGGTGGAGAAGACGACAATTGACTCGCCGACTCTAGTTCTCGAGCAAGAGGTGGTGGAGAAGGCCGAGGAATCGAAGGACGGGAGGAGCTCGTTGCGCCGAAAGCGAAATTCCACCGATGATGGTTCATTGGGGTTGGAAAATGGTGAGTTCTCAATCTCTTAGCTCTGGAAATAGAATACCTGATATCCAAATTCAGAGCTTTCTCTCTAGCTTTCTCATGGTAACATCTAAATCCCATCATCCCATATTCCTCTTCTTCTTCGTCCATTTCTAGGTTTGTTTGTGTTCAACGTTGGATTTGGGAAATGGGGTTGGTTCTTTCTCATGGTTGAGAGGCGATGGTTGATCATAGGGAAGGTTGAGCTACCAGTCTAGGAGGTGCCAGTGTGGGCAGAGAAGGAAGAGGAAAATGGCGTCATGGCAGGCGGTGACAGTGGAGGATTGGGTCGAGCCGGGTTGGGTTAGGGGTTGAATAGGTTGGGGTATATAGAGGGTCTGACGTGGTGGGTAAAAAATGAGTGAATCAGCATTTCAATTAGCCACGTAAGCAAAATACTGACGGTGTTAACGTAGATTAACGGAGAGTGACCAAACGTGAAACTTTTCACCATTTTCAGTGACTACGAATGAAATAAAATACTTTTAGTGACCAAACGTGAATTTTTTAGTACTTCCAGTGACCAATCTTGCAATTTACCCGTTGTTTGAGCGTAAGAATATCTTTGTTCTGGTAGTCGATAGATTGAATTTTATTACCTTCGTGAATCATGAACCAATTGTTTTTATGTGGGGAAGGTTTTATATCACTTGTGCGGAGCTACGAGTAATGCACTAAGGTTTTCTATAATAAAAAAACTCGTTTGACCATAGAAAATTGAGTTATGATATTTTGACAATGACGTAATTGAAATAACTTCGAAATGTTATTCATTCTCCTAGTTATTTCAAATAACTCATTTTTCTGTCTCTATTTTAAATTAGTGTCATGTGGTCTCCTTCGACTCCTCATTCCCTTCCCCTCCTGTTATTAAAGTGGGTATTACTTTCTCTTAATTTGTTATGAAATACCACAAGCCAAACAAGAGAATTCTAATATCATTAGGCTCAAGCTTCAAACAATTCATGAAATGACAAAATTGAAAACAATGCATTAAATACATTAAGATACATAGAGTCGAATATGGTGTTTTTTAGGTCATGTTATAAGCGCTTTAGCTAATTTATGGACGATTGAGGTGAAATTCTTACGCTCTTGAATCTCCTCCCTTTAAATTGCTTCTAAGAGAATTATTTGCATGTCAATCTTCTCAACACTTATGTATAGCTATAATCAAAACTTCAATATCGTATCCCACACGGCCACACCCCATTTCCATTGAAAAAAACACCATTTGGGATATCACTCCTCTCCGTTTGAGTAAGAGACACACTACTCTAACTTTATCACAACACCAAAAGGATCCATAACCGGTTGATGTTGAAAAATCAACGGATGAGTTGTGGATAGGAATGATATGCCACTCAAATCCAGATCTAACTAGTTCTCTCCAAAATGCGTTGAGACATAGCAATTGATTGGACATCTAGGAGCAAAACATTATTTTCATATTTTGTTTGAAAAAGAAGTCTATTATTTTCCAAGAGTACACGAATATTAACCAAGATCTAGCTACCTAACAAGTCTTGGCTACTAACGGTTGACAAGAACCTATGCCAAATATTCATCTTCTAAGTGCAGAAAACAAACGAAAAAATTTTATGCGATCTCTAAACTAACATTTAACTCTATTGAGAAGACCATATCATGGCATGGCGATATTGTGCTTGGCAAGAGGTGCAATCTCATCTCCGTCGAATCCCGGCTCAGTATTCCCAGCAACGCCAAGGCTCCTCAGTAGTTCTTCCCACTTCTTTGCTGGCCCCTGCACCACCCACACCGAAAATCCCATCGTTTAGTCACCCTCTTTCGACATCACACCGGTTATTGTTCAAATTCAGTTAGAATGTTTAATGCATTACCTTCCAGGAGAGATCTTGAGCCATGCAATTCTGGATCATTTCAGACAGTGCATGAGTCCCAAAGGTTGCAATTGCCTTCTCGACGCCTCTAGTTACCGCAGTCACGTCCATTGGATCAACTTCATCGCACTACAACGACGTCACTTGTATGTCAGTTGGAGTGTTTGGCACGAGCAAAATGGTGTAAGATCTGATTTCGAAGTTTGTAAACTCTCTCGCTTACCTCGACACTGAAATCTCCCATGTGGAAGCCTGTGCGACCGTCTCTCACCGTGTTAACAAGGCCGCCTGTGGAGGCAACAATTGGCACCTACATACAAAACAAAGTATCATAACATATAGAAGATGAAATGTATTGCTAGAAAAGGTTATATACTTGGAACAAGAAATGTACCGTGCCATAGCGCATAGCGTGCAGCTGGATCAGACCACAGGGCTCGAACCTACTCGGTATCAACATGAAATCGGCACCAGCTATGATCAAATGGGCTAGGCTAGGGCTGAACTTGGCGATCCCGCGAGCCTTATCTGGATACGATTCCTCAAGCTTCATGATCTGTCGCTCCATCTCTTTCTTTCCAGTTCCCTTTTTAACATACACATAAACCAAATTGTAACCAAACAATACAAGCGCATGATTGTGTGGAAAGAAACAGAGTAGTTTCAAAAACTAGGTACATTGTCAACTGTCAAGAACACTGATTCGGCTTACGTACCAGGATAATAATCTGAACATTGTTCTTATCAATGAAATCAGGGATGGCTTCCACAAGAATGTCTGAACCTTTCTGCTCTTCCAGCCTACCAATGAACCCAATCACAGGGATGCTCTTGTCCACCGGCAGTCCTGCTTCAGCTTGCAATGCTTCCTTCAACAATGGCTTTGCATCCATCACCTAAACCAACACACCAACTCTATAGAACCATACGAAAGAAACCCAGAAAACGAAACATGTAACAGAATGACTTGTAAGATCTTACAGTAGTCGAATCGTATTTGAAATCGATGTACTTGTCAGTAGAAGGATTCCACTCCTGAACATCCATTCCATTGACAATGCCAATGATACCCTTAGCCCGAATGATGTTATCAAGCTCGACGCCCTTGTCTTCACCGGAGGCCAGCTCTTCGGCGTAGTAAGGGCTCACTGTAACCACCGTGTCTGATTCGATGATCCCTGCCTTCATCCAGTTGATCTTCCTTCCCCTCACTGGCTTGTCATACCTGCATTTCACCCACCCAAACCAAAATTCACAGCCAGAGTAAGAAAGAAACCAAAAAGGGTACAATGTGATTTGTAAAGTTCCTGCGTAGTTGGGTTTGATTTACCCATCAGTGAAATCGAAGGAGCCCCTGAACTGGCTGGGGAGATTGAGAATGGAGAAATCGGAGAAGGGGAATCTGCCTTGGTAAGCAATGTTGTGAATGCAGAATGCAACCTTTCACACAACATAAAAAAGGGTCAGGGCCATGATCAATCAAAAAGAGAGATTAAGAAAAAACAGTGTTTAGAATAGTTGAAGAACCTTGGCATTAGTGTATTGGCCTTGAGGTTGGTACATTGTTTTCATGTAGCAAGGGAGGAGAGCTGTGTGCCAATCGTTAGCAATGAAGATCACATCCTCACCTACATTCCAATTCATCAAATTCTCCCCCAATGAATTAGACTCATCATAAATAGTTTCAGAAACGAAGATGGTAAATTTTTTTCCTTCATTTTTCCAATACCATATGGTCCAGAAAACGATTGGTTGCCGTCGAGATTCAACAGCCTTGGCGCTTCCAGAGCTGCCTGGCAAAACAAGCTGAAACGAAGCTGGTTGTCTTCGTAGTCGATTCCGGCTCGAGGACCATAGATCTGGGGACCAGTTTTCCCCCATACCTGGAAACATAGAATTAAACTTTGATCAATTCATATCCTAACCCAGAAATCACATTTCCTTCTAACGACATGGGAAATCCAATATTTTGGTGGTAGTGTGTGACAAGACAGAGTTACCCTGGCTAGAAACAGAGGATGGTCGACGAAAACCCGATCCACCCCTCGTTTGTAGCAGTGGAAGAACCGAACTGTCTCCACTGTGTCCAAAACCTTCACCTGGACTTCCACGCCTGTGTCCCAAGCATCCTTGTACTGGTCGTAGCGCGGCGAGATCGTCATCACTCGGTGTCCCTTCGCCTGCGTGATCGCCGCGAATTCGTTAATGATCAGAAAATCTGAAGCGATTTTGATTGATTATTGATTGAGGGTGGTAATTAGTAATTAGTAATTACTAGTTAGTTCAAGTAACTTACAGCCATGGCCGGCGGGAGCCCGCCGAGGACATCGCCGAGCCCGCCGGTTTTGCTCCAGGGAGCAACCTCTGCTCCGACGAACACCAATCTCATCCCTCCGCCGCCCTCCTCGCACCGCACAGTGGCGGCGGCGGCGGCGCGGTTGTGGGAAGTCGGCCGGCATTTGCGGGATGCTCTGCCGCCGGCGGAGTTGGATGATCTCAGTTTCAGAGCGTCCAATCTGTTCAGGCTCAGCCCAACATTGTTCTTCGGGATGACGCTACGGTACAAGGACAGAGAATTGGTATTCGAGCTAACTACGTGACGAGGTGGGGTGGCTGTGACTACAGAGGGAATCACTGCTGTCGCCATTTTCAGTCAGGTGGAATAGAGCCAAAAAAAAAACAGAGAGGTGATGAACTCTGTAATTGAATTCGTGATTTCTTTTCGAACAGGAAGAAGACGAGAGGCAGAGTCGGAAGCAGGGGAGTAGATAAAGTGAGCTGCAGGTTGAATATATATAGTAGCCGCCAATATTGTAGATTTAGTTGGGGAAGGGATTCAAACTGCCACGTGGCGCGGTCACGTTGCATTTCAGACTGTTTCTTTCCGCTTCCCGCTCTTTTGCCCATTTATTCCGCCCGTATTTAGTAGCACTTCCTCTTCTACCTCCGTCGGAATAGGCTTGAATCTTGAATGTACCAAAATGTGAGATTGGGCTCTCCATCGGCCCAACATTTAAAATGGGCCCGATTTCTGTTGAGAGACAAGTTTTGGGCCGATTCCTCATAGCCTGCAAAGGGAGAGAGAGAGAGAGTCCAGAAACTTCCCTTCATGCTCCGATCCATATCCGGTTGGTCCTCTGCTTCCACAAACGGAATGGTTCCACCGTCCTATGACTCGAATCAACGTCGCGTTTCTCTTTACGGGAATGGACAGGACGTGGCGGCGGCCGCGTTTTCCTGATCCGACGAGGTTTCCAGGTGGTTCCAGGAAATCCTCAACCCATTCGGCTTTTCTTCCCCTCTTCACCAATCTGTATAAATACCCTTTCCCCACTTCCCCCGATCGTCAACCAGAACAAGCAAGCAAGCAAGCGAAGCAGAGTTCGATCGGAGTAATTGGTCAATCAACCAACCCAGCAGCGAGACTTTTTATAGAGAGAAGATGATGATGTCGATTTTCAGCTCCTTCGACGTTCTGTCAGGGGAATTCTTTGGGCAGAAGATCAATAAGCTGCCATCGGGCCTGTGCAGGCAAGCCGACGGCGGCGATTGGACGAAACTGGACGGCGGGAAGTCGCCGTCGTCGTCGCCGCCGGCGGCGGCGGAGAAGAATAGGCAGGAAGGCGAGGGATCTCATCAGGTGAGTGGGAAACGGCTGGCGGCGGGTACGAGGTTCGCCGTGGAGTTGGATGGGGTTCACTGTTTCGAGACAATTGTTTGTTACTGATGATCCGTGGTGGATTTTGGTCATTTGATTCATTCTTGTTTCTTTCGTGTTAAGGTTTTTGAGTGTATAGGCTAATCATGTTCTAGGGGCTACACGTTTTGATAGTTTGCTTGGAGTGTACTCCTTTAATGTATACAGTTTTTGACGCAATCCATCTTCATACATTCTTTTGTTACTATATGATTGAAACTTTCATCTTGACCTCTTCATATGCAAAAAATTTAATTGAATCCAGTGAAGATATTATTGGGAAAAAGGCAAAGCTTGTAATTACATGGTATAGAGAATTATAGGTAGAACAGAACATATTGGTTACTTGGTGCAGAAGCGATCGAGAATTTTCCAGACATTTTACTTTTAAACTGATGCGTGTGATTGAAGTTAGCAGAGGAAGAAACGATTCCCTTGATCAGGCTTCAATCCAGCTTTTAGCAAGCTAAGGATGGCTTTCGCGTATGGGCATCTATAATTCTATATAGTTTGTCTTTGGAGCTCCCATTACCTCCAACCCACCTGCTATTCCATTCCTGCTTCATCTTCCCAATACCAACTTGCATTCATGGCGGCGGCGAACGTGATGTATGTTAGTGTCATGACGATGCCGGTCGTAGCAGCAGCCGTCGGAGTCTACTTGCTTGACAAAACGTCGGCTCCGGGCTTCAACCTCAAGTCTTCTCCTAGGGGATTCGCCGATGGTCGGAGTGGCACTGGCAGCTGCAGCAGGGGGAGAAGGAATGTGGTGGCGACTGGAGACGGAAGCCAGGAGGAGGGGCCCAAGTTAGCCCCGCAGTTCGATGGAATCTTCTGTTTTGAAACCCTGGTTCCTGCTTTTCGCTGATCGACGAAAGTTTGATCGTAGCATAATTCGATTCTTCCTCTGGGCATATGTAGAAAATTCAGTTGCTCTCAATGGTTACTGTACTCTTGTTGAACCACGCTGTTGTGCCTGCTGATGAAAATACATGTAACTGAAGTGTAATCGCAATCTATTTTCGCAAAATCGAAAAAACTACCCGATTACCCTCTCGAAAGATATGATAGTGTCACAATCGACGGATTACAGAGGCTAAACTGAAGGTCGAGATTGCGATATAAGGGCATGTTAAGACAGGAAGAGAGGGGCACATTTCTGTGAGAACAGGTAGTACAACTGCTGAACCAGACACATTAATTCCTTTCCTAATTCGATGCCTTAAGGGAGACCCAGCTCCCCAACACAGCAAAGCAACAGCGCAACTTTGCCTCAAACATGTGAACTCAGTGCAATCACAATCACTTCCATCCACACACCCTGTCTCTCTGGTTACATTGCAAATGGTAGGGAAACAACTGCTGTTCTTTACGAGAGGTGACACTATTTCCTTCTGCAATTCGGATTCAGACCTCAACAATTTACATGGGGAAAAAAAGGTAACTCGGAGCTTGAGCTACTATTTCGTCGAACAATAACATTATTGCTCCCGGTTCCATATCATACATATATACAACCATCACTACTACTAACATCTTTTGTCCTCTCAGCTTAATCTCTTCCCCAAAGTCCCTAACTTCCTAGCTATGCCGAACACACATGCCTTCGTCAGAAGCCCTCGGTCAATGCTGCAAGCAACCGCGATAGCTCCACCTATAAGCAACGTCTTCGGTATATTCCTGCCTGAACTTTGATTTGATGAACTCTCTGCTTCTGCCTCTGCCATTGATACCTCCTTGGTGTTGCCTCCCAGTGCTTTCACTAACTCGGGATCCAGTTTGGTGTTGATCTGAGCCATGAAGGCAGGTCGTGAGAGTCCTGCTCCGGATGCCCTTGCGGTTTGGTAAGCTAGCAAACCAGGCTCGATCTTTTTGACTGATCCCCACATTCCTTGGCGAATACCAAGCTTTGCGAGCTCCCAAGGAATACCCATGTCTTCGTAGTGAAAGAGCAGAACCTCGCATGCAGTCAGTTGGCCATCCCCTCTTCTGGATTCAACTGTTCATACAAGGAATTTTCAAACATTCAAAGATGATTTCAATGGAAATTCAAGATGTTTAAATCGAGCTACAAGGGGGAAATGGTATAAGGCATGGTAAACCTGGTCGAATAAACCAGCTTGAGTAGTACAAATCCACACGCCTTGGTTTATCACGCCTTGGGATGGAAGGATAAGGTACTCCCTAGAACACAAACAGCAGAAAAAATGATCAGAACTTAAGCGATGATTACAATGGAGGAGGCATAACAAATCAGAGAAACCAAGGAAATGTTTGGTAAGGAAGACGTTCAAGCTGGCAGATAAAATCCAAGAATTTATAGTACTAATCGACATCATCTATAGTGCTATAACTCTTATATAATTAACTTGATAGGTAAACAAACAAGCTTTAGCTTCTTGCTGAAGAGAAAGGAAAAGGCTAGTCATTTCATAATTGAGGGCAGGCAATCCCCTATGCGCAGGAATTGAATGGGGCAGATTGGCATACCTTTGTAACACAGTAATAAGACCTTCCAGACTCCCAGATTCGACGGCCTATAGTGTACTCTCTGTCACTACAGAAAAAGGGAAACTGCAGAGCGAGTCAGAGCGTAAAGAGCTCATCGAGTGAACAAGAGGAGCACATTTCATCATCCACCATGTAACAACAGCAACAAAGTACATACTTTTCTTAACCAATGCACGACCATGGACCCTGTTGTGGGGCACTCGTCTACAACAGCAGCACGGGCTAGCATATCGTCCCAATTTGACCGGAACTCGTCATCCCAAAAGAAGTCTCTCACTATCTCCGGTGAAGCATCCTTGAAAACAGTTCTGGTACGATATTGAGGAGGACCATCCTATAGCCAAGATGGTAGAAAACAAGACTAATAAGAACCACAACCAGAAAACAAGGTTTAATAAGAAACTCGGATTGAAGGTAATTCAATTAGGTGATGACTTACAACTGATCAAATGAGGGAGAGATGCACACAGACACCCTACCTTGATGTCTCTCCTCCATGCTTGGTAAGTCATGCCGGGTGTGGAACGATCCATCATCTGTATCCAAGAAGGACCTCCATCTTTCACTTCAACAAGGTTGTGCAGATAAACCAAATCCTCTTCAGTCACCAGATCAGCAGCATTAGGCCGTTCATCATCCAGCTGGGTTCCTCCACTGGACAAGAGGTCCATCAACAAAAAGACTTCTCAACATCATAATGAAGGGCAATTCATAGAATCCAATAGAACAGTGAAATTCTGAGTTGGGTCGAGATTCAATTGATAAAGCATGCAACTTTCACCCACCCATCTAGCAAAAAAGAAAAGAGAGTAAATTATAAGCAAGTGAAGGTTACCATGAATCTTCAAATTGAGAATGGTGGACGGCAAATGAGCTTGCATCCACCAAATTCGGCGAGCTGAGCAAGAAGGATGTGAGGCAAGGGGCCGACCCAAAACCCTTCACCGGAGAATCCGGACACCGGGAAGGTGAAGACGGCGGCGAAGAATCCACCAATTTGTGCGCAGACGAAGATGAAGAGGAAGAAACCAAACTGCCTTGCTGGGTTAAACCGGCTGCCCAACTGGGCTTCCACATCCAACCAATGGATACACCAACGAGGAAAGCAACCCACATCAGAATTAGGAACACCATCGTCGGAGTATAGGCTCCCAGAAATTGGGATGTCCCCAGAAACACACAAACCGCCTCGAGAATTACAGCCATAGCCACATTTAAAGCGTCAGAGAAGAGAAGAGAAGGAAGGAAAGGGGAAAGTGCGGCACACGACTAGATGAAGGTTTAAGGGTTCTTCATGTGACCATGTTTGCTTTGCTTTTTTCTTTCCCGAGAATAATGGCGAGGAGGGGGAGAGAAGCATGAATCGCGAGAGAGGTAGTTGTTGATTATTCTGTTATTTTACGAGGGAATAAAGAATTTCCGGTATACGGTGGGAGTTGGAAACATGGATGGAATGGGAATTGGATTTTTATTTTCCGGTGGCGGAGAACACTTGATGCGGGGGCGCAAGGAATCATCGCCGTCGGTTTCGTTTTGCTTTTTTTCTGGTTCTGCTGCTTTTTGTCTTGTCGGTTTTACAAAATTTGGTATGGGCCCTGGTATCGTCTTTTGGGTATGCCCACTGTATCATGTTCTCAACTCTCTTAATGGGCTGTAGCCCAAATTCATTCACTCTTAATGGGCTTAATTACTAGTCATTACTGATATCTCACTGTGGAAAATGGGCCTGTCAAATCACAACTGTCAACCTTTCGTCAGAAAAGAAAAAGAGGAACGAAACGCTCATTTCACATTTCACGTTTTCCGTCGAGCAAATCCCGACGAGCTGCCTGCGGAGGCTCCGCCGTGGCTACATCCTCGCTGCGACCAACCCCCGCATCAGTTGATAGAATCGGAATCTCACCTCGAATCCTCCCCAATGTTGTGCTCAGCCCCCGGCGGGAAGCCGAGTTCAAATTGGCTGGACCGACTCCGATCCACCAAAGGCTTCCCCACCTCCGGCGACGTCGGACTAGACGACTTCCTTCTCACCAAACCCACCGCCGACGAAGACGCTTCCGATTCCCCTACATCCGATGATGCTGCCGCCTCCAATTCCCTCGTTAACTCCAACTCCGTCGCGGAGCAAGCCCCCGAGATTTCCGGCCGAAATGGTGAAGGGGACTGGTTCGGCGTGATGACCAATGTTCTCTCCGATCTCTTCTACATGGGCGGACCCACCGGAATCTCCGGGAAGAAGAGCGCCAGGAAGCAGACGAACCCTAAGTTCTGCGCCCTTCCTGCCTCGCCTGCGCTGCGGAAAGACGAGAAAGCGGCGGGCGCAAGGGCGGCTTCGCTCAATTCCAACCGCAATTCGAACATTGTACGGTCTCAGCGCGGCGGGGATTGCGCGGATGAGGTCGATGAGGAGCAGGATAAGGGCGAGTGCCGCCGTGGCGACGGTGAAGGGTGTGGAGGGGATAGAGAGCTGAAAGGGTACTCGCGGAGTGAAGTGACGGTGATTGATACAAGCTACGAGGTGTGGAAGTTTGACAAGCTGGTGTTCAGGAAGAGGAACATTTGGAAAGTGAGGGACAAGAAGGGCAAGTCGTGGCTGTCTGCTGCTGCGAAGAAGAAGAGGAAGAAGGGGAGTGGTGGGCTGGATTCTGAGTTTGATCATGGAAGTGTATCCGGTGGAGCCAAGAAGAAAGCTAAGGTCTTGAATTTCCACTCCACTGTGGTTGCCATTGGTGGAAATTGTGTGTGGCCTTCTGATGATGTAAGTTTCTCGCTACAATATCTTGTGTATCAGTATGTGTATGGCTATATGAATCTCTGCTCGCTTTTGTGGCTTGTGTCCAGTTTTGCACTTCTGAAGCAAGATGGTGTCATGCTAACATAGTAACATTAATGCTTCTACCTGTTCTTGACTTCTTACTGGCTTGGAACCGGTAGTGATTGCTGTTCTAGGTGATGCTCAACTTGGTTTTTCATCTTTGGGAAGAAAATGAATTTGTCTTGTTTTATAAGCTAGAATTTGTGTATCGCTTTACTAAGAGTAATGTATGTTATGCTTTCGATCTCTCTGGTTCTGTGAAATATACTATCTTTCCTATTTGACTTGGTTCTGAAAGTTCAAAGCTCAAAGGTGCAGTTATTTCTTGTTCTCCAACAGCTCGATGCAAGTTTTCGCTGCAAGCTAACATTGTAAAATCTGCGTTCTATATACCATCCATGAGAAGTTTTCAGCTTCCTTTCGTTAATGTTTGTGTTGGCCAACTTCCGTGAAGAAGAGTAGATGCACTTGACATAAATTGTTGCAGATCTGCTGTACCAACCTAGTAAAGGGTCTTAGGCTCCATCACTTTGGATCCTAATAGATTATTGATGGTTCATTCAATGCGTTAACCTGTAATTCAGTTGCTGGCATTATTCGCGATAACAATTTGTGTTTGGTGCTGGACTAACTAAACTTTTGGTTTAAAATCTGCCTTTTGTTCGTTTTGTGTCATTTCTAATCATGGGCACAAATGAAGATGTGCAGATTGCAGAAACACAAGTATCTTCTTTGGTTGTGAAGTTATTTTACTATACCATTTGGCTTATATCATATGATCCAAGTCTGTGGCAGACTAGAATCTGTTTGCTTGACAATGCGTTGAAACACTATGGTGCTGAATGCTTCAACTTGTTGACAGATAGTTTATGTAGCTGCAACCCGAAATTTATCTTTCCCTTTGGATTTTTCGATGTTCCATAATTTTCCCATCAAATGAAACGCCTCTTGAAAGGCATCATGAATTTTAAAAGTAGTACGGTTTGGGGATATTGTGTTTTCATATTCCACAAATAGTCAATCTGGATTAAGCTGGTTATGCATTTGGTCCTCTTCTGTTAAACTGAGGAAATTCTGGTTGGTTATTTAATCCTATATATGATTTCATATGCAGGGTCAGAAGTCACAGGATGAGGAAATGGAAGATGTTCCCACACAAGTAGGAGTTAAGCTTGGCCAACTTCCTAGAATCAACAGGCATGTATGCTTTGGGAGGACCACATTGTGCCCCTTTCTGTTTAGTATTTGAATATGTGCTACTGACTAAAACCGTGATTCTATATTTTGTTGCACTGAACACTTTATCCAGGGTCCATGATTCCAGATCCCCCAGAGTATCAAACAAAGGCAACTCATCAGTTGTTCTTATCAAAGCTATGCCCAACAGCAAGAAAAGTGGGGGAAATGTCCCCAAGAATCAACTCAAGGAACGTCAAAGGCAACAGAAGGCTTGACGGATTTCGTTCTTTCCCCTAACCTTTCGAATCCGTGCGCCCCAGTCGATGCGATTGGCACGAAAGACGGGCTTATCTCCATCAAAGCTCACATTTCAACTGCTCAACAACCCGGGATGTCCTGAATCAGTTTGGACCTGAAGCCAAAGTGCATATGATTTGTGCAGGCATGGATCTATGTCTCATGCAGCATCTCGCATCCCATTTTTTTCCGTTCTGGGGATATTCATTCTTCGGTTGTATCTCGAAACTGTCTATATGCATTGCTTACCAGCTAATGTATGTATTTATTGTGTACACTTCTACCCCTTTGTGTTTGCCACCAGCAATGTTTGTATGATTGTATTGGTGTATCATATACAACTATTCAATTGATATTCGAGACGGAGGTGTGAATAGATCGAAAGCGAACTCGTCGAATCTGAACTTTCTTTCATCAACCCAGTAAATGAATATCAGTAAATGTTTAACACTTCCCGCTGCTATTCAAATTTTAAGGATAAAAGGATTTTTCTTCAAGCGAAAATCCCTTGCTTTGAAATAGCACAGCCGAAAGCGAAAAGAAGCTCTCCCCAGTTACAGTTATCGCTGTTAGCCCCAGAGAGAATTCCCGCTTCTTATCATTCATTCGCAAGGACCCGCCCTTGTTATTGCTCTCCCACTAACAAGTCGCATCTGTCGCAGGACATCTTATCCGAATCTTCGATGTTGTGCATATTCTCCCACTCCGCAACTAAACTTCAATTCCCAGCTCCACCACGGCCTCATCTTCATCAGCAGTTCCACGAAGCTTCAGTACCTCAGCAGCTGAGACCGCCAGTTTTAGCACCTGCAGCTTTCTTCCCTCTCGTCAAATTTGCTCCTTTTCGTTGCTGTTGTCTCGCCTCTTCTGTGGAAGGGCAGAAAGATGTTGGTAGGATTACCCTCCACTCATTCTCTCGCAGGCAATTCATCGAACACCTTGTCTGCATGCATCCTGATGTTTGCATTCCCTCTTCTGTTTCAGGTTTACTTCTCTTCCAGCTGTTTGGAGAGATGGGATTGACGGATAGAGAGACCGAGGTGGTACTGGAGCGTAACCCAGTTCTCAAGTTCACAGCTTTAGATTCCGCGCGAGCGCGGTTGTCACTTCTGCAGGCTGTTGGAATCAAAGGACTGGAACTGTATCGGCTGATTACCAAAAGACCCACTGTGCTCGTAGCAGAAGAAGTCGATGAATTTCTACGCTTTTTCCTCTCCGGATTGCCGGAGCTCGTCGACCCAGCACAGCTCAGGCGGCTGCTAGTCGCCGTCGAACCCAGATCCTTACTCAATTTCCCGGAAAAGGTCGAGCTGCTTCTCGAAAGTGGAGTTCCTCAAGGCAAAATCGTCCACGTTCTCAACAATGTCAATTTAGCCAAGGCCCTTGCTTTCAAACCAGTTGCCGAGATCCGTAGAACGGTAGAGTTCTTGACTCGGTACGGCGGAGGAAGCGTCCAGATGATCATCAAACGGCCGCAGCTTCTGAACTTCGACCTGGAAACTCAGCTGATCCCACGAGTGGAGTTTCTGAAGCAGCTGAGTGGTGGAGATGAAGAAGCCACAGGGATGGTGCTCCGGAAACTACCAGCATTCCTCAGCTATAGTGTCGAACATGTGGAAGGTCACGTCGAATTCTTCAGGTCATTTGCAGGCCTAACCGACCTCCAGATCTTCAGGATCTACCTCGTGTTCCCCAACGTGATCAGCGCGAGCAAGGAGCGAAAGCTGCAGCCGAGGATCGAGTTCCTGCAGCAATGTGGGTTGAACTCTGAAGAAATGTCCAAGTTCCTGACCAAAGCTCCACTGCTGCTCGGCTTGTCTTACGACGAGAACCTCGTTCACAAGCTCGTGTTCTTGGTGAAGATCGGGTATGGCTATCCCACCAAGGAGCTGGCTGCTGCGATGGGGGCTGTGACGAGAACGAGCTGCGAGAACCTGCAGAAGGTGATAGGGGTGTTGTTGAGTTACGGTCTGGCTTGTGAAGATATTCTCACCATGAGCACGAAGCACCCGCAGGTTCTGCAGTACAATTACGAGTCGTTGGAGAAGAAGATGCAGTACTTGACCGAAGGAATGGGGCGCGATGTCGGAGAGCTGCTCGCTTTCCCCGCATTCCTTGGGTACAACCTCGATACCCGGATTAAGCCGAGGTATGAGTTCAAGAGGGATACTCTCGGCGAAGGGCTGTCGATCAACAAGCTGCTGACCATGTCTGCTGGCAGATTTTCTGATGGTAAAGGAGTCAAATCGTAACATTCTTGTTGTGTATCAGAACCATTGTCTATCAATGTTCATTCTATATGTAATCTCATTTTAGCTCGCTAGGAAAGAAATGCAGATGCTGTTTGGAAATGCTCTATAACATGAAGAACAGCTTCAAGTGTCCTCAATTGTTCATTCCCAAAGTTATTCGCATTGTTTCTATATCTCTTTGAAATTTGATGGCTCGAATGAAAATCTGTGCCGGTCTACCGGATGGCCAACTCGAACCGTCTGGGCTGGTTTTGGTTGCCCGAGTTGGGACCTGTACGCTGCGTTTTTGTCATCCCGGAAATAAAAACAAAAAAGATAAAATAAGAAAAGGCTCTCCCTAAATCGCCAATGGCCGCAGCGGCTGCGATATCAGGTAAGCAGTTGAGCTTCAACAAGTCCCGCGCCGACCGGCCAGCAAGAATCAGTACCCTAGCCGCCGCCGCCTCCACACCTTCAAGTTCGTCGGCGCTCTTCTCCTTTCGCTTTCTTCCGCCCGTCGGGACGTATCTTCTCTGCTCTGTGGTAAACTGGTAGGTAAAGAGTTCTTTCCCGCCTCCGCAGAGAGAAAAAGATGAGAAATTTGGAACTGGATAGTAAGAGGATGAAGAGCAAGAAAAAGAGACGTGAGAATGGTATTAGTCTTCTTACTTCTCGACCTATATTCATTTTTAAGCTATGTTGAAGGTATGATGGAGATTGTAACTAGCTTTGGTATGGTTGTGTACTTCTTTTACTTGTCGATGTAGAGGTCGAAGTTAAGAACGAAGAAAAGAGTCACGAAAGGAATCCAGGGGACGGGAAGAAGAAGAGAAGAAGGGAAACGAAGAACAATGGTGAATTGGTGACAGTCAGTGAAGGTGAAATGATTTAGCTGCAGTAGACTGGTGTTGGGTTTTATGCCGCCCCTTTATATGACTAAGCTTCTCTGGTTGACTGTTGGTTTTGATTCATTTCAGCAAACAGTTTGGTTGAAGCAGAGACGGTGAAGAAGATGAAGAAGAAGAAGAAACAAAGAAAGGAGATTGTGGCGAAGATTGCTCCAGTCGAAGAGTCCGATCAGGTTGATGATGGCTCTGCCAGGCAAAGTGGTATGTTCTTATGATTTTGAGATGGTGAATGACTTCCTCCCTTTCAGCTTAATGCGGCTGAATTTCCTTTGTCGATACTAGTGGTTTTGAGCTTCTACCAATGGGATTGTGTAGTTAGATGCCTAATACGTGCTAGCTGTCCTGCTTTTCCTCTTTTGTATCCATCATACGGCTTCATTAAGTTAATCTTGAATGATGAAATGAATTCACAGACCGAGCAAAGGTTGTTGTGGGACAGAAATGAGAACTCATCTTGGTAGCCGAATCTCTTATTTGGGTTTCTTCGGTGAGAACTGAGTTAAAATTGGATCTTATAAGCTGTTCTTTTATTGTTCTCCATGTTTAAGGTAAATCAATGAAATCCAAGAAAGACAAGAAGAAAAACAAGATGAAGCCGGTGGTTGCATCAGAAGGAGTTGGCATGCAGAGGAAAACAGAAAAACAAGAGGAGGATGTCTACTGCCTGTCATCAGGCGATGAAGACTGCTCAAAAGGGATGAAAAGTAAGCACCTTGTACTCCCTCGCTAGTGCATCTTTGTAATGCCAAATCCGCAGCATACTGTCGTTACCATACACTCAGGTTGCTCTAAGGTTATAGCTATTGGTTCTTATCCACTTGAAGCTGGATAATCATTATGTCCCTAAATTAGGAAACTAGAGCGAAAAGAATTGTCCTCTGCCTGTATGAATGCAGTCTCTTTGCACCAAAACCTTCATTTTCTTAGGACTTGCTTGAGACTCACCATTTGACCTTTCCCTCTGAATAGGTAGAAGTGGTGCTACTTCATTCCACTTTTATCCTTGTCCCTTGATGGCTATGACATAGTACTTGTGTCCTTTCTGATTTAAAGTACCCTTAATCATTTGATTTTCACAAACTTGCTTCCCAGAATGGCTTACAGAGTACAACGAAAGTAGACCAGGTTTGAGGGCATTGCAACAACGAATAGATGACTTCATAATTTCTCATGAAGAAAAACTCGAAGAGGTAATCTGTTCACTGAGTGACCTTTTGACCGATTCATCCTTTCATTTTTTAAACTTCTGGACCTTGTCTGAAGTATGGGCTTTTACCGAATCCTAATCGTAGAAGAAACGGTCTGATCACTTATTTCCTGATTACAAATATCAAGCTACTGCTCTGATCCTTTCAACTTCTTACACTTTACTTCTCATGAAATATATGCAGGAGAAAAAAGAAAGAGAAGCTCAAGCTGCAGATGGTGGTTGGACAGTTGTTGTACATCAGAGAGGAAGGAAAAAGACGACGGATCCTGAGAGTGGGATCGCTGTGGGCTCCGCCGTTCCAGTTGCCAAAGTCGATGACATCACAACCAAGAAGAAACGCAACGAAATAGGGGTAGATTTTTATCGGTTTCAGAAGAGAGAAGCTCATATGAATGGTAATGAGAATTTTTTTTCTTCTTTTTTCTACGGCTCTTGGAAAACTATATCCGAGTTGTTCCTTTGATTTGTTTTGTTTTGTTGTTGATAATGATCATATATAACTTGTGCTGCTGGTTTTGCAGAAATCTTGCAACTCCAGAGCAAATTCGAGGAGGACAAGAAGCGGATTCAGCAACTCAGGGCTGCAAGAAAGTTCCGACCGTACTGAGTTCCATTGATCATTGGAGGATCTAAGGGGAATGATTCTGATTGCTGAACTGACTGGACGCATATTCAGTTTGGTTTCGCCACACAGAGACACTCTCATGTTTATCAAGTTTAGTTTTCTTGCATAGAACATTGTATGATAGAAATTGCTATGGTTGGGGTTGCCAAAAGCTGTTTTCCTGCTGGGTTGACTCCGATTTTGAAGGTGGACTTGAGCCGTGGGATTTTACTGACTCAAATTCTCAGCCATCTCAAACTTCTTCCCCAGTGAATGGCTTATGCTTCTGATGGTTGGCTGTAATTCAATTGTGCAACTAATCTCTATTGTAATTTTTTAGCATACTCTATTATGAGGTTTTACTTAGATGGTACCATACCATTCTTTTGTTTTGTCATATGAAATAGAGATACAATATTTTACAATATTTGTTTTCTTTAATAACATTTTAGATAGTAACAACTATCTCAAATGTGTATTTGAGTGAGTACTAATTTAATTGGACTAGCGTTTGATGTGAAACAAGTGTGTATATCGATAGTACCTTACTTCTGTGATCTTCAAAAATAAGACATAATTAGAAATCAAAAAGAACAAAGAAGATTGACTTACATGGGACTAACTTAACATATAGAGTACATGAATAAGAAGCCAACATAATGTGCATGAATTGAAATAATAATAATAAGGGCTAATATCACTAGGAAATCCGAACTATTAACTTTGTGTCATTTGTGTCCTAAAGTATTCGATATGACATTTGTGTCCTAAACTATTTTTCCGTTAAAGTTGATTGGCGTTGACCGTTAGTTTTTAACAGAAAGTCTAGTCAGCGCTTATGTGGCATCTGACGTGGAAATTTTATTATTATCTTTTAATTTTCCCTTTTGATTAAAAAATAATTAAAATGAATAAATTGGAAATTGAAACCTCCGCCACCACCAAAACCCTCCTCCTCTGCGAATCCTCTCCTTTGCTTCCCGAGCCGCCGGAATCTCCGGTCAGCTCTCCCCTTCTTTGTCAAAGGATTCCGCCGCTAGAACAATTGTCGCCTCCTCACCTCTACTCCTCTCCTCACCTTTACTCCTCTCCGCCACATCCCACCTGATCGAGTCCTCCTCTTCCTGCCACTCCAATCGAGGCGATTCTTATTCCGTCTCTGGGCGATTCTACCTAAGGTGGAGAGGAGGGGCGATGAATGGTCAAGATAGCGAGTTTCACCGCAAAGTCGATCCTGTAGATCTTGATCCCGCATCCTCTCGAATCGCTGCATCACGAGGTGGAGCTCGCCGTCGTCATCGGCCAGAAACTCGCGATGTGACAGAGGATTCCGCCATGGATTTCGTCGGAGGTTTGATGCAAGTTCTTTTCTCGTCTCTGTGAAATTCGGATTTTGGTTTATGACGAGAGAGGGAGTCGGATCTGGTAATGCTTTCTCTCAGGTTATGCTCTTGCTCTGGATATGACCGCAAGAGAAATCCAAGCTTCTGCTAAGGTAGAAATGAAGAAGGTAGGGGAGTGAGTCGATTTTACAAAGAAAAGGAGAAAGGAAAGAGTGGTTGCAGAGCTTGGCCGACCGGAAAAACCAGAGAGCGGGAGGGGATGCCGGAATTGGATGTCGCCTAGTCGTCGGCCTGTCTTTTCCCTCTCCTGATCCATCTCTGCGCTCTCTTAGACCCTTCATCGTTGGCGATTCCGGTGCCCCATCCTATTCATCCTTCTTCTCGATTGCGATGGTTGGTATTTTTTTATATGAGTTTGTAATTGGATGAAGTAGGATCGACAGTGGAGAAGCTGAAGAGTAGAGGGAGTAGGAGGCGGTGGGGGAGTTTTCCTTTACTTTTTTTATTTTAATTTTTAGAAACATTATTAATTAATTGAGTTTACATTCTTAATTTTTATAATAATATATTATTTTTATAATTTTTATTTAATTTTTAATTAAAAATATGAGGTGTCATTGACGTGGCATCTACGTGGCTGCCACGTCAACAAAAGTCAATGTTAATGTTGATTTCCGTTTGGTCAACCGTTATCTATAACGGTCAACGAAATCGTCAGGACATAAATGGCACAAAACTATTATACGTTGTGACACAAATGTCATATCGAATACTTTAGAACACAAATGACACAAAGTTAATAGTTCGGGTTTCCCAGTGGTATTAGCCCTAATAATAATAAACATAATTTGCATGCTTCTATATATACCTACGGTTCTTCTATCTCTTCTTTACATAAGAAGATTGTATTACCAATTTCAAGGATCAGTACTTTTTATTTTGAGATATCGGAAGAAATTAAAATATGTTAGTCAGTGACATTTATTTGTATGATAAAAGAGTAAGAATTTGATTTCTTTTTCACATTCTGGTTTGTTATCATCCGGTAAATAAAAAAATAATTTTCCACATCTCCTTCTCTTTTATCCGATTACAAGGGTAGAGCTACAATATAGATGGGTGGGCCTCGGCCTCCCGAAATTTGTCTCGGCCCCCAAAAATTTGAAAGAATAAATAAAAAATAAGAAATGCTACAAATTATCAAGGGCTTATTGTGTAGTTTATTGGAAGAGATTGTGGTTCCTCTCCCAAAGTTCTTGAGTATTGAATCTCATTCTTGACCTTCATTAATTTGTTAATTTTCAATCTGCCCCGCCCAATTTAATTCTCAGGTTAGGAGGGTCTTCTTTTTTGTGTGTGGGAATTTGGTGGATCTTTTAACCTCCATTTTTGGTTCCTTTCTTTGCTAGGGATAAAAAAAGATAGGGATAAAAAAAGATAACAGTTCTTTGGTTAATAGTTCAATTTTTGGTTCCTTTCTCCTTTAAGGATAAAATGATGATATTTTTTTGTTCATAGTTTAATGATTTAGGTTAAACATAGGAATTTTGAGTTTATATCCTATTTTAAGTAATTATAATTATCGTAGTTAAAATGGTTATGATAATTAACTAAATAATTTTGTTTACTTTTTGTTTATATTATATTGTTTTGGTTTCCTGTTCTTTCACGATAATACATTTAACTAAATTTTTTGCCCCATCGAACTCTAATCCTCGCTCCACCCCTGGCCAGTTATACCTCCAAAAAGCGTCCCACATTATAGCTTACACTTCCTTCACAATAATCCTCCTTTCCTCTTCTCCTAATTGTACCTCTCAAAATTGGAAACTTCACAGGAGACCTCGTTCAAGTAATGTTCTAAATCCACATAAACCTTCACCTCGTCGCTACAAGTTAGAATGGTCAATTCGCCAATTCTAGTCACTCTTCACCTCGTCGCTACAAGTTAGAATGGTCAATTCGCCAATTCTAATCACTCTGCATTTGGCCGTTCAATTTTGTACATGCTTCTAGAAAACAATATAGTTACCAATTAGTACGAGTTTCAAATTTTCAGGTGTTATCGTTCCTTTTTAATTGCTTCGATAGTGCCTTTTGTTGTCTTTTTCAATATTAACTTTGAGGCGCCATCAACAAAGTTAACAAATGAACAAAGAACAAAATTGAAATATTCATCTAAGAGTGACTACCCAAACTGAATAAGTGTTATACTGTATTCTTGATTGCCACGATTAACATGGAGGCCATTGATATTGGATTTGTGATCTTGTTTCTCTGATGTTGTAGATTTTTCATAAATCCTTACTGTAGTGTTCTCTTGTAGAGGCCTAGAGGGCAGAGGCCATTGGTATTGGATTTGCAATCTTGTTTCTTTAATGTTATAGATTTTCATAAATCCTTACTATATTGTTATCTTGGAACGGATAGTTTACCAAATCGTAGGCTAGACTTCAAGTACTTTAGTTGCCGAACTATTTATCGTTGTGCACATACCTGCATGAGGTTATGTGTACCAACTCATCTACATAACGAAACTTTACAATAAGTGAAACATTGAACGAGCCAACTTCAAATACCACACTCTCCTTTGTTGTACAACAACAAAATGATACTCATCTATGGACTCATTTGGCCCCAGATTACGAACATGTTGGACCAACCAATATGTAAGACCATCGGCACACAGGGCCAATATCTTTTCTTCACGATTGATTTATGTTATATACATTGTACGCCAAAAATGCAGACCTTACAAAAAGAGTCTCGTTATAGTCTGGTTTTCTTACTCGGCAAAGGATGGTTCTCTAGCTGATTCAATCTCCAACGGCTCTAGTTTCTCAGATTTACCATCCCCTTTGGGTATAATAAGACCATACCCACCAGCTTTCCGTTTGTAGACGATGTTTACTTCACCTGATACAGAAGGCGTTACCGAATCAATGACCTTATCGAGCTAAAGCAGTCAGCTCGAACTAAAGTTAACCAGGTAATGGTAAGTTCTTACCGGTTTCTTCATTCCTGAACCCGTAGAAATCATGGTCTAGATTTTCGAGCTGCTCAATTGCTTCAGCGACGGTCAAAGGTGGCATATCAAAATACTTGGTCCGAACAACCTGAAAGTTGCCCACACAAAGCACAAGTCAGATGTAAAACAATATGAATCAAACTGAGGAAAGATATAAGAAGCCACAGATTTGGTGAACCTCAGCCACAAAATCCTCATCATCCTCCGCTTGTATGGAAGCTCCATTTACAGCTTCATCTGCCTCCAATTCTGCTACCTCTACAGGTGATTCTGGCATTGCTTCCTTGAACGTGGAGCGATTGAAACCCTTCATGTGGCGGCCATGATCGGAATCTTTCTCCTTTATCTTCCTCAGCTTTCTTTGCATGATCGACGACACCAAATCGATGCTTGCAAACGTCGTCTCAGCATCTTCTTCAGCTCGAATCACCCCGTGTTTCTTAGTAAACAAAGTCACCTGCGAAACATAAACCTTCATGTCAACCAATGCACAGTTCAAAACGATTGGAATGAAATGAAGATGGTTTCTCGATTCAGTTTGGTTTTTGATGGTGAAGCACCTCACATCTCCGAATCCTTGGACCTTTACCAAACTCCCCGCCTCTAACAGAAAGCCTCACATCGACTTCACGAACTAGATGACTGTGTTTCTGAACCGCCTTTCCGACCTTGTCTTCGATATGCTTCTTGATCGTATCGGTTAACTGTACACAAACCACTTCATTGTCAAACAGGGATCAATTCGCCTCAAATTCGAATTAACCAACACAGTTGATGCAAAATGCAAACTAGTATCTCTAAATCTAACTTGTTCCGAGATTAACCATCCGCCTAACACAACTATTTCACAGTAATTCCTCCGTGGAAACAAACTAGAAGCATCAGGGAATGGATAAGCTTGTTATTCAAGCAGGCAAATTGTTCAGCAAGCTGTGTACTGTGTACTGAGAGAATCAATCAACCACAATGCAATTCCTTTCAATAGCTAGTTCTGAGCTAAGCACTGCAGCTCCCGACACTAAGGCAGGAATCAAAATCAGAGGAAACGGAAGATTTACGAACCTCCAGATTTTTGCCCTGAACGATCAGCTTGACGGAAGAGAGGGGGCCATCCCAAGACATCTGAACGGCGAGCGCGCTGCCGTGGCGCTTCCTCGTCCTCCGAATCTCCACGAATCGCACATTGCTACCGAGGAACGGTGAGGAATCGACGGAGCGAGCAGCAGCGAGAAGTTTGGGGTTTCCGGTGGGGAGGCAAGTGAAGGATGAAGAAGCCAACGAAGGAGTTGACGGAAGTGAAGAGCGGGGACGCAGGAAGTTCGTCTGCAAGGAACCTAAGAGAGCAGCCATTGCCTGAGCTTGAACTCGAACAATCAGGGGTTGTTTGGAAGGTGATAAAATGGAGGAAAGAGCAGGAAATGAAGGCGACGAGATGAGTGTGAGATTTCTGTGAAGTAGTGTCTGCAGACCTGGGAGAAGACAAAGGCGATGAGGACACGTAGAAGGATAAACGGATAATAACGAAACAGATAGGCCCACCTCGAGATCCAATAATGAATATATATACTGGATTCATTTACCGACGGTTTGGAGTCTGTCTCTTGAATGGATAACTGTTGGAAAATGGGCCCACAAGGCCCAGGCCCACAAGTATGAATCGCTTGATGGCTGCCGCGTACCCGAAAATGGTATGAATCGCTTTAATTTTGTTGTTCATTACCCTGGATTCGTCTAACCTACATATGTGTGAATAAGAAGATGTACTTTGTTGATGATTGAGACTCTCCATTCGGGCGTTTTCTTATCCCTTTGATGCGAATCTACTTGTTGTTAAAAACTATCGTAAGTTGTTATTTCTTGAAGGTCACGTCGTGTGATCTTGGAAGGGGACTCTAGAATGATGGTCGACCAACTTTATCAAGATGTGATGACAGATTCGTTTAAAGGACCTATGCTATGAAATTATCGACACGTAATGTGGGGCGAAAAACAGTATAGTCCTCTCTTCTAGAGTTAGCTTCCTTTATGTATTTAGGATGGTTCCACTAAAAAGTACTCCATGAATGGAACATTTCAGGCTACCCAATCCGTGGGATGATAATTCAACAGTCAACACCAATCCGTCAGAATGAAAGGTTTTAGTCAAATTCTTCATTTTTCCAAATCCCACCAACAAATAATCCCCAAATCAGATCAAGTACCTCCTACTGCCGCTGCCAACTTGGCCACCAGATATGCCAACCTCTGCAACTCCCTCCAACTGGGAATGGAGTTACAGAAAACCTACTCTTCTTGCCCCAAAACTGTCAGAAGGCACCCACTACTGTCTGCTACTATTCACTACAACCAAGCTAACAAACCCAGCGCCAACAATCCGAACAGCATTGTGAAACGGATGACACTGTGATGATCTCCCACACCAGGCGAATCCGAAGCAGTCGAGTTCATCGATGGAGCTGTTACATTCACCATCGTCCCATTCTGCTTCCCTCCACTGCCACATATAAAAAAACAAACCAAACCAAACCAAACATCAGCCACCAACCATGTTCAAACAATGTGAATTGCTTGTTAAAAATGATTGCTAATTGCATTTACCTTCCAGGGTATACACAAGTACCATGACCTGCATTCGATCATTAAAGAGTGTTATATTCATGACTCAAGAAAGCAGGAAAGATAAGATCAAGAGTGTTGATAATGGCAATGATTTGTTTACTTGGATCGGTAGTGGTGACAGTAGCCACCCCTTTGAAATCGCAAGTCCCCGGACCTTTCCCCATCTGATGGTAGTAAGCATCAAAAGCATAGGCCGCGTGTGCAATCACATTGTCCGGTTCATAACACTGTTGACCCTGCAACAACGCAGAGCAATCGACTTTGCCAGCTCCACAAGCCCAATCCAGAGCCGCCTGCACCATCTTCCTGTCCGCACCATCCTTCACCGTGCAGAAAGTCTGGTTCGCCGTGTCATTAGCCAGCACAGACCCCGACCCAGCCAAGTTCATCACGTAGACCGGCTCCCCATTCGCATTGAAAAGCCCCCAGTTCTTCTCCGACAGAGGGCCCGACTTGGTATCCTCGTTGTACAGCTCGTAAATGTACGTGCTGACCGCGATCCCAGGGTGCTTCGGTGTGCCGGTCTTGTTCAACACATGCCTAATCAAGTTGCTGTTGTAAGTGTTGGCATTGTCCAGCGTCGCATCGGGCTCGTTGGGGTCACCTTTGGACGGCCAGCCCGTCTCGGTGACCAGAACAGGAATGTTGGTGAAGTTGAGGTCCGACATTGCGAAGTAAGCTGCATCCACCATCGCGTCGAACACGTTCGAGTAGTGAACAAGAGTGTTGGCATCGACAGCTTCCTTATTCGGAGGGAGGGGCTCGAGGAGCGCATAGTCCAAGGGGATGACACCGTTGGACTGCATGTAGTCGTAGTAAGGGTACACATTGAGCATGAGGTACGACCCCGTCGACTGGAGGAAGCTCAAGAGCGGAATCATGACCGGGTTCAGCGACTTGTTGAAGAAGGCCTGCGAGGGAGGGAAGGAATCGAGGATGAGGGAGGATGCAAATGGGGTAGAGACTTTGATCTGGCGGTCGAGATTCGATGCCACGAGCGCCGAATTGATGTACTTGAGGGCGCTGACGAGGATAGGCGCGGCGTTGGGGAGGGTTGTGAGCACCTCGGAGCCGACGCAAATTGCCGTGATGTTGGTGGACGGGTAGTGAGCGACGATGTTCTTGGAGACCCAGTTGGCCGCTGTGGAATTGGACTGGCCGATGCCGAGGAGCTGGTCGTTGGGGACCGAGACCATGACCTGAATCCCTGAGTTGGCCAGGGCGGTTAACATGCCGCGGTCCGCGTCGTAGAGCCTGACGTGCTTGATCTGCTGCGCTTTCAGAAGGGCTACTACTTGAGTCGGGTGCGGCATGTCGGAGAGGTCTGTGCCTATGTTGACGCCGATGAAGGGCGCTGCAGCAACCATTTGCAAAGCAGGTTAATTTGTTAAGACAATGTTACAAATTGCAGCGAGCGGTTGTGATTAATCAATAACCATTAGGGGTCATTCTCTCTTCCATATCATTAATTCATTATCATCTCAATGAGCTAGCTCGTTAGAAGCCCGAGGAGGGGATTCATTAAACAAAAACAAATCTATCAGACAGTGTGACTCACTGGGTAACATTCCGACATCACCTGGGGGACGGAAAATAATACTAAACTAGCAAAAAATGGTTTCAAGAGCTCAAGGCAAAATGAAGGGTTGCCTCCTCTGTTCACTCATATCCCCCCCTGCTTGCTTCTCAATCTAAGAAACAACAATGTGGTCAAAAGATGCAAGCAAGCAGAAAGAAGGAAGTTTGTATATAGTTTAGAAGTTAGAACCCAGTAATTCCCAAAAGCTATCGGACTCGTTATCCCAACTGCGGCAACCATTGATTTACAGAAAGAAGCAGCAAACGAGGGGAGGGGATAGTACCTACCTTCATCCACAGCAGCAGCAAGAGAGGCAGAGAGAGCTAGCGAAAGGGAGAGGAAGAGCAGGAGGAGGGCAGCCATTGAAAGTGGTCTAGTATGATTTCCAACCTCCCTGCAGCAACGACGAAGAAGAAAGAAGAAGAAGTTCGGGATGTAGAGAAGCTGGGAAACCACAGAGAGAGAGAGACTGAGAGTGAAGTGCAAATTTTGAAAAAAGGGGAAAGTAGGTTGGAGGAATTGATGTCGGGTTTTGAGAGAGTGGGGGAAATGGGGAAGCGAAGCAAGAGAGGAGGAAGGAGGGGTAAAGGAGATTTGCAGGCGGAATCACGAGGCAGATAGTTTCAACGGTGGGGATCTCTTTCACAGTGGCGGTGGAGGACACGCTGGACTTTTTGTCTGGACTCTGGAGTCAGAGAATTGCCGTTGGTATTGGTCGGAGAGCAGCAGCAGTATTGTTACTGATGGGCCAGAACTTAAGAACCCGTTGGATCTGGGCGGGGCCCAGCTCTGAACGGACCAGATCGAAGGAAAAGCTGAAGACCCCTTTGACTGATTTTCAAAATTCCAGTCTGAATAAAAAAAGAAAATTTACAAAAATATGTATTTTGGATATATATTGGGATTGATTGATGAGAGTTTCCACCGGAGGAAAGCTCGTCTTCCTTTCTCGGTTCCCACCCGTCTCTCCCGCCGGCGAATCGCAAACCAGGCTGGCGAGGTTTCCTTCCGCTAACGGTAAGGAATCAAACAAAATCAGGATTCCCTCCTTTCTCTTGGCCGGAATCTCATCGGAGTCCCAACTTGTTCTATCATCGGGTTGGGCCATGCTGGGCCAGGCCCACTGAGAATTGCATATGACAATTTTGAGCCTATATTCAGTCAGAAAACGTTCGTTAGTGGATAACTGCGGGGGAATGGGCCCGTAGGGCCGCAAGCCCATAAACGTACGTTCTTTGGTGGGCTGAACGAATAGAAGACTTCAATTGGGGAGTTTTTTAATGCTTATCCAGATTGAACAAAGAAAAACCTTTCCCCACTGATTTGACCAATTATTATTAATTAAAAATTAAAGATGCAACTGCATTTTCAATCTTGGCTCCAGTATTTATTTTTGTGGTCTCAGAAGGACACAACTGCCATAAGAATCAGATTGAGGACACGTAAACCGGCCACCGCCGACCGCATAATTGAAAATTATTATTATTATTATCAAGGAAAAAGAGGACGATAAGTAAAGAATACAACATGTGATTAGCCCAATTAGAAAACCTTAGTCAAAATCACCCATTAGCATATGTACACGTGTCGAAGTCCTGTCCAGTAGATGACAAGTTGAGGAATTTAAGTAGGAATGGCAACGTGGCAGGTCCGGGGTGGGTATCTCGATATCCATACCCGCCCCATGGCACGCCGGGTTCAGGTCGGGTAATTTATCACGAGGCGCAGGTCGAGATAGGTCGACTCAATGGGTATGTAATTTATGTGAAAAATGTTAGAAATATTCGTTATTTTCATTAAAAGACCAAGTAAAAAACCATAATATGATAAAATGTAGTTAAATTATTGGAGAAATTGAGGTTTTCACTTATTTACAACTTTTTTATAGCTAAATATGAGATAATAAAATAAAAATCCTAAGTAATTTGACTAAGATTACATGTAATTTAGACAAGAACGGGTCGAGAATGACGCGGGTCAGGACAGGTTGGGTCGGGTCGATGAGAGATACTCATGCCCGTCCCGCCCCGCTTATGGAACGGGTCAGACCTGCCCAAAACAGGTCAAACAAATCGAGTACAACGGGTTAGGTCAAAATTGACATTACTAAATTTAAGTTTTTGAGTGTGGTTGGTTTTTCCTTTTTCTTTTTGGTGTTACTTGATGCCACTACTAGTCCCCAAAATATCTAGCACAGTGAAAAGGAGCTACCAAATCTTTATCTTTTCCATTTTGCCCATCTCAGTCACCCACTCTCTTAAAAATATCTGTAAAAATCAATAAAATATCTCTAACTCTCCTACTCAGCAACCACCAAACAATAAAACAAATATCTCCAATCCCTCAACTTGCCACTTGCTACATAGATAGATTTGAGGGGGAGCATTGAAATAAAAAATATTGGAAAGTGCCCGACATTTTGTTTGGCTTAACATGTTGGGTTCTAGTAGGTTGAAAGATGACATTTCATTATGATATATATATCAGGTGTTGCTTTCTGAGTGGCCGATGAAAATTTCTATTGGTTAGTAGTATGTTAGCCTCGTCACAGAATATCGCTTTAGCCAGATCGATTGTTGGCTTATATAGCCTTTTCTTTTCGCGCTTAACTTTTAACTACGTGTTTATTCTGAATATTGTAATTTTTATCTCGATTTTTTGTATGGTATTGTAGCGAACTCTACTCACGTTCTTGATATTAACGATGCAGTGAAACTTTATCTTCGTTTTTTTTTTTTTTGTTCCGAAAGAGTTTGATTGCTTTTGCTGACAAGGCAGGGCAGAGCATCGATACAATTGGATCAATCAATTTTAAGATCTTAAATGTTATTATCCGATGGCATTAGCATGTACCGATACCTACCTTATAAATTTGATAGCTAAATTCCTTGGACATTATTTTTTTTATTTATCAAGACTTTTAAGTGATTTATGTTTTGTTCTTTTTTAGTTTTTTTGTAAGGAAGTGAATAGTGGTTGGGTTTATGGTTGGGAGGAGAGTAATAGGATAATGACGTTTTAAATAACGACCACTCGTGGCCAAAGGTCCGATGAAGAAGAAAGGAGAGCCACCCAATGAGGCTCTACCTTTTGATTATCCAGCCAACTTCCCTCCCTCGTCTTCCGTATATATCCTTCTGACCTGGCATTTGGCATTCGTCCCCTTCTCCCGGGCCCCACCAATTTTTTTTTTCCTTCAGATCTTTTGCTTTTGGGGTTTTTTCATCTATGGTCCTTGTACTATCATGCTTCAACAAATAAGCCCATGCATTTGATGTTTAACAACATACATGACTGGGATAGGATCATAGGAATGAGCTGAAAATGGAGGGGGAAAATGAGAGGACTAGAAATAGTTCAGTATGCTCTCGAGTCATTTTTCTGAGATATTTAATACAATTCACAAAAGACGAAAATTGAATCAAATCATATCCAGTTCGTTCACACATTCGATCGGCTCATTGATTTTGTGTAATTTGGCATGTGTTGACTGAATCGTTGTCGTTGCTATTTGTGTCCCTATACTGAATACCTCATTAGGACCGTAACTGGTAAGACAGATCACTTCTAGTGCAATAACGGACGATTTCACATTATACGTGTCTACTTACCTTTTTTTTTTGTTTGTATTGTGGATTATCAGATGCCTCGAACGACGCACATGCATCACGTGTAGAATTAGGATTTGGTAGTAGAGTTAAATTATTAAATGGCATTACAAAACATTCATTGTGTTGATCAACCTCCTCCTCAGTGTAACTGATCAGATCGACAAATGAACTATAAATAGAGAAATGTCGTATTAAGTCATTTATGTTAAACATCATAATTGTTTTTCTCCACAATAAGATGTTTGATCTTGTTTCTTAACTTCTTGTGCATATTTTGGAAGGTTAATTGAGACAATTAAACACAATTTATTAGTGGTTGATTGAGCCATTGTTCACAATTAAAAGATAAAAAAAGAATAGAACGAAAAAAAAAAAAGAGAAAACGGTGGGCTACTACCATACGTTACGATCATACCACCATCGGCCCAACCAATTATTTATTTTCTTTAAAAAAGAAGGCGATTCTTCCTTCTTCTTTAATTATCCATAAAAAAAACCTTCCCCACCATAAAAAGGAAAAAGAAAAAGAATAACTGATGCTCCCGTGGCATGCTGTCGGCCATCCATTGGGGAGCAGGTGGGCGACTGGAGCTGGGCCGATCTCCACCGTCCGATCCCGCTTCATTTCTAGAGACCTTGGATATTTTTCCAGATATTTTTCATCCCACCTTTACCTTTTGGCCAGGCAGATGTCCCCCTACGCCAAAGTTCAAACGAACCCCCACAAAAAATAGAATTTGAAGAAGAAAAAAAAAAAAAACTCCGCCGGTCTCTGATTTTTTCGGGAAAGGAAGACGAAGAAGACGACTGAATCGTCAGCCACAGCGGGATGGTAGAGCTGGAGACCAGTTGCAGCATCAGCAGCAGTGGAGCTGCGGAAGAAGAGACGGAACAACGAGGAGGAGGAGGAGGAGGAGAATTGCTGAAGAAGCAGAGTAACGGAAGTGGTGGTAATCTGGAGGGGAGGGAAGGAGGTACCGAGGAGGACGAGGAGGAGAGTCAGAGTGATAACCAGCATCGGAATCAGATGTCGAAGAGGAGAAGGAAGAAGAAGCAGCAGCAGCAGCAGGAGCTGAGGAATATCGAGAACTCGATGAATGAAGTCGATGATGGTGGCGGCGGCGGCGGCGGGTCGAGGAGTAATGGTTTGATGGTGAGATGGGAGAGGCTTCTGCCGAGGATGGTGTTGAGAGTCTTGCTGGTTGAATCCGACGACTCTACGCGGCAGATTATTGCCGCTTTGCTCAGGAAATGCAGTTACAGAGGTCAGTCAATCTGTTTGGGCTTTCTCTCTATCCCTCTTTGCGATTACTGATCAAGATTCCCTCAATTATATCCATGCTCGGAGATAATTTCCCTCTAGTTTGATGTGAGATTGATTTAACTGTGATCATTTGCTTTGTTAATGAATGACTCTTAATATCCATTGAAGCTATCGGTTTCGAAATTCCGGCTTCTATTGATTCAGAGGAACTAATATAGAAACAATTTCATTTGGAGATTAGGGTAAATCATAATTTGTCGAGACCTAGCATGTAAGAGGAATTGATAGCTAAGAGCGAGGTGGGAATTTAGAAGTTTAGCTCCAACTATGGTGAAGAAGAAGCTGTAAGCAAACCCTGGGAATGGGGGAAATGAAATTGGTGATCTCAATCAAATCACATAACGTAGTTTGCTATGCTCCAACTCTTGACGCTGCAGGCTTCTTTTGGTTTCAGTTGCTGCGGTTCCTGACGGATTGAAGGCATGGGAGTTACTAAAAGAGAGGCCACATAACATAGACCTGATTCTGACAGAAGTGGACTTGCCTTCAATATCGGGATACGCTCTCCTCACTCTAATGATGGAGCATGAGATCTGCAAAAACATTCCTGTCATAAGTATGACGCCAGTCCCGCCTCAAGTTTTCTAAGTTTGTTGATATGCCCGGCTAAAGAAGCTGACTTGGTAAATTGTATGCTTGACTTGGCAGTGATGTCGAAGGAGGATTCGATCAGCACGGTTTACAAATGCATGATGAGAGGTGCAGCTGACTACCTTGTTAAACCCGTCAGGAGAAATGAACTTAGAAATTTGTGGCAGCATGTATGGAGAAGACATACTGTAATTCCCAACTCACAACAATGTTCTATTTTCTGTTTTTTTGTTATAATTGGGAACTTTGGCTAGTTGGTGAAGGCATCAATTAATCTTTTTTCTTTTGTTTTTCAGCAACTTTCAAGAGAGAATTTGCCCCAGGATGAGGCTACTTCTGAAAATAATGTTGACCACATAACTGGTGATGTAGCTTGTGCGCAGAAGAACAAGGATTTCGTCGAGAAAGGGAGTGAGGCACAGGTCGGTCCTTGCTTGTGCGACAATTAGTAGAGCATTAGATCTCTGTTAAATCACTGCAAGGACAATATCACCTAATCTAAGAATGAGTATGAATCATGGGTTTTGCAGAAAAAAAAATCTTAGTTGAATGATCCATTGACGAAATGAATTCAGGTTTTGTTGTGGAGACTGAATTCTCTATTTCTCTTGCAGAGTTCTTGTACAAAGCCAGGTGTGGAAGCTGGGAGTACTGGAAAGTTTCAGGACTTCTTACAGCCAGTTGGAGTTGAACATGTCCTTGATGATACTAACTGCCAGAGACAGGAGGCCTGTGAAGGTTCAAATCAAAGGGTGCTTGTTCATGAGAACCAAGGCCAGGGTATGAATATTTTGCAATTTTATCTCACCTAGTTATCTACATTCAGTCTGGCAAGCAGAACTGAAATTTATGGTTTCACTTTTGCAGAGAGAACAAATACTGATGCCAACACCGAGGCCTGTGATACTGATGGTGCCAACTTTCATAGAGAAGGTATTAATTTCATGGGAGCAGGTACGCTAGACAAATCCTCCCAGGAGAACATCAGGAGCAATTTTGACACTTACCCAGACTTGGATCTCTCCTTGAAAAGTAATCATTCTTGTGAGCTAGCACTTCAACTTTCAGAAGAAAGACACACGCTCAGACAATCTACAACCTCAGCTTTTTCACGGTAAGTTGAACCTCCACATATTTCTTATCTTCTTTTACAAGTGTTATTAAGTAATTAGTCTTTGTCTTTTTTCTTTCTTTCTTTCTAATTTCCTATGAACTGCTAATAATGGTGGTGATGCAGGTATATCGCTAGGCCATTTCAAACCCAACATTCGGCCAATGCCTGCAATCAGAAAGAACTTGGAATTGATTCAGAAATAAACTTTTCCAGTGTCGTCGGTAACACATCTAGCTCTCCTACTCCACCAGCAGCAGGTCTTCATAGGACTGTGTCTCTTCCAATTTCCCAAGCTAAAGAATCTGAAGTTGGAACTTCAATGCCTCAACAAAGACTATTATTTCCAGTCCAAACTCCATCAAGTGAGGCTAGGAACAGTGATTCAAACCCAGTCTTCATGTTCCCTCCTTTCACTTACAAACAACAGTCGGCAAATCACCAAGAACCCCACCTCAGATTGAGCAGCGAGTCCACAGCTTTGCAAAATCAGGACCACAAGTTGGACGAGTGGAGGCGTGTTTCTCCCATGACTGATCAAACCGGAAGCAACAGCTTGTGCAATGGTGCTATAAATCATTTCAACAGCAGCATGGGCTACGGAAGCACTTCCGGGAGCATGAGCAATGCTGAACAAGTTGGAATGGTTAATGGAGCACCAGCAGCAGAGAGCACAAATGAAGAAGGGCCTTTCACCCACACCCCGAACTCCCATCATCGGTCCATGCTGAGGGAAGCTGCCCTTAACAAATTCCGGTTGAAGCGGAAAGAACGATGCTTTGAGAAGAAGGTATACTAATACTGCCACATCCTAATCATGTACACATTACTAGATTCTGCTCAGTACTCGGAAGCTAATATATCGATGTTGTGGCTTGTTCAATTGCAGGTCCGGTACGAGAGCAGGAAAAAACTGGCTGAGCAGCGTCCTAGAGTGAAAGGGCAGTTTGTTCGTCAGGCGCCAGTCGAGGCTGCACCTTTGGAACCCGAGTGAAGTCGTGCTCAGATACATGGCTTGCCTGCTACTAATTTGACATGAGCGATTCGCACTAGTGATAGCTCCACCTGTGTGATTTTTACCGTTCTGAAATCTGACAGGGAAGTATAGAGAGAGAGCCTTACTACGCCGTGTGTTTATATTCATACGCCGTAACTTCTCATTGCCCTCTAACAGCTTAGTTTAGATATGTGTAATGTATTTACCGCCATTTTCATTTGTAAATATTGGGAAGAAGGTAAGGTAAAGTGGTCATCAATCTGATCGAAGCTGCTGACTCTTTTATATGATTAGGGTTCCTTAACTCCTGATTATGCTATGATTCATAGGAAGGAAAATGTAAATTCTCGGATCACTTCCAGTGATAGAAATAGGATTGCACAATGGTATGATTATAGATGTGTATCAAAATGTAGATGTATAACTATTTCACTAATCAAATTTACAATCAATCCGTATCATTCTAAAATCATGTCTCCGTCCTTGAGTGCTTGTTTGATTTTACTATGAAATTACTAAGACATCCCGCGAAGGGATCGAGTAGGATGGCAATGAAGACATCATGAACATGAATGAACAATGACTCACAAAGTTATCCTTGGGAGTCGTCGATGGACGTGGTGCAAGGCATACATAACTTAGCATCATAACCGTCGCTACTCGCTTTGGCATAAATTTTATGTTAACCATTCAGGTCATCATTAAATGTGTATTTCCTCCATTATTTTCTGTCAAAACATTCTCGACTCCTAATCATATTAGATTATTGTGAAAGCGAATTTTTATGCATAACCATCTTACTAGCTACTTACCACATTAGTATGATACCTTATCAATATGGTAAATTTACACAGAAAGTCTGGAACCCAGGCCGATTGTTGCCAAGTGGCTTACGATCTTTTACCTTGCTTTCATATTGCTTACGAGCAAGCTTACGAAAGAATATCCAAAACCCTCTCCCCAAAGATTTCTTCTTGAACCTACAAGACTCTCTCTCGACCTCCCAATTAATCAAACGTGTGACCCAGCTGGACAGCGAAACGACAACGAATCGGGAATCCATTCTGGTATTATTTATTATTTTCTGACTTTTCTTTCTTCGTCTCCTTTTATAATTTTTCTTTTTAAACTCATTAAAATGGAGAGATTTTATTTTTATAAAGTCTCAAATTCAGACCACAAATGAGAACAAAGGAGAGCCACCAAATGAGTCATGGGGCCCCACACCCCGCCCATCCCAAATCCGCCTTAATTTCCTTCCGACGTGGCACTCTCTGGTCCCGCTCGCGAATCCTAGATATTTTCCCCGCCCCGGGACGCTCACAGCCGTCCATTGGAAAGCAGGCAGACGCGGTATCAACCGTTGGATCAGACCTGTCCGGGTTTTTAAAGATCTTTATCTCGTTTCTCATTTGTTCCCTTCGGTTTAGGCAGCTTATTAAGCAACAGACAAACGGAGGAAATCGAAGGAAAGGATTTGCTTTGTTGAACAATAGACGCCGGAGCGAAGATGACAAAGCGGCGGAGCGACGGGGGAACTGAGAGAACGGAAGAATCGGTGACTAGTGCTAGCTGCAGCGGCGGCGGTGGAGAAGGAGGAGGAGGAGAGGAGTTGTTGAAAAGGTTGAGGGTGGAAGAAGACGGAGAGGTTGGGAGCGCGAGCGAGGGAGTTTGTGGTCGGAGGAGCAGTGATTCGGCGGTGGGATGGGAGAAGTTGTCGCCGATGGCTCTGAGAGTTTTGCTGGTGGAGGCCGATGATTCGACTAGACAGATCATCTCCGCTCTTCTCAGGAAATGTGGTTACAGAGGTGATTTTGGTCCCCCTTTCTTTTTAGCCATTTTCTTTAGTGTCGGTAGCGCGATCCAATTTTGGTTCTATGTTCTTGCTGTCCGATTTTTGCCTTGATGATTGTGAATCCTGTTCAACCCATTTGTTCAGCTTCCTCAATTTACCAGATTTTGATGTTTCCCTTCTGCTTGATTAAGCAGTTTCTGCAGTTACAAATGGGTTAAAAGCGTGGGAGGTACTGAAAGGGAAGCCAGATGAGATAGACCTAATTTTGACTGAAGTCGATCTGCCTTCTGTATCGGGATATGCTCTCCTTTCGCTTATCATGGATCATGAGATATGCAAGAACATTCCTGTTATCAGTATGTCGATTTCCAAATTCAAGCTTCTCTTTTTCACTTCAATGGATCTCTGGCTTCCATTGCCACTTACGGAGAAGAAAGAAACTCAAGCGCGAAACTTGTCTGTGGTTTTGCAGTGATGTCGACGGAGGATTCGATTCGGACGGCTTACAAATGCATGTTGAAAGGTGCAGCTGACTATCTGATCAAGCCTATAAGGAGAAATGAACTTGGGAATTTGTGGCAGCATGTGTGGAGAAGACAAAAGGTAATGACCGTAACTCTTGCAGAGATGTTTCGTGCTTCGATGTTGTTGCCAGGGATGGTTTGTTGGTTTTTTCTTAAGCCATGTATTGATTGATTTTCTGTTTGTGAATTCAGTCTCTTGGGAGAGAGATTGGCATGGAGGATAAAGATGCCGTCCAAGATAAGCTAGAGCCTGCTTGTGAAAATAATGCTTCGAGTAAATGTTCTAGTGGTGATGGAGGGTTTTCTCAGAGAAACAAGGAGTGTGCTGAGATGGGCAGTGATACACAGGTTGGTGCTTTGATGGATTTATCATGCAGAACTTGATGCTCAGATTTGTGTGGTGTCACTGCTTGATTTCATGCTTTGGTTTTTGATTGGTAAATCTTCACTGAGGGTCAAGTTTTTAACTTTTAACAGTTTTGTGGCTAAATATGTACCCTGTAGTTTCTAGGGGAGACATCTGAAGAGAATAAGCTAGTACTTGTAGGAAACTTTTCTTTAGCTATGAACCGAATGCTAACTGCCAAGTGGTTTCAAATCTGGTTAAGTTAGATAGAATTGCAACTATTGTAGTGTTCATTGGGCAGCCAAAATTTCTCCGGCTTATGCCAAAATCCTTATAGAACATTGGATGTACTGTCATCCAATATCTTAGGTATCACAGACATTGCGCAGACTACCCTAAACCCTAACTGCTTTTTGATTGTAACTTCCTTTTTGTTGCAGAGTTCCTGCATGGTGCTGGATGCAGATGCTGTGGGTTCTGAAAATGTGGACAAGCCTGGTAAAGCATGTGTGTAATTTCATTGGTGGATTATCACATTCATTCAATTTCCGAAGCAGAAACTGACATGTGCTGTTTAATGTTTCCATTGACAGCTGCTGCATGTAAGAATGTTGATGGAATGACTCTGGACAATGACGAAGTAAATGTAGATATGGATTCCAAGGCATCCGATAAAAATAATGCTAATTCTACGGGCGAAGCAATTGATTTCATGAGTGAAGCTCCACTTCACATATATTCATCGAAAATGAAAAGTGAGTTCGATTCATATGGGCACTTGGATCTCTCCTTAAGAAGTTCTTTTCGAGGTGGATTTGAGATTGAGCCTGCAGAAGGGAAAAACAGTCTTAGGCATTCTAGTGCTTCATCCTTCACACGGTAAGCCTGCAACCAGACAGCCCTTCCCTTTCTTTTGAATGATCACACTTATTCCTATTGACTGATATGGAAACAAATAATGCTTTTGCAGCTATACTGGCAAGCAATTGTACCTCCAACACTCAGAATCTGCGATTGTATCCAACCCGAAAGAACTTCCAGCTGATTCAGAGCGAAACATTTCCGGTGTTACTGATACTGGTGGTCCATCACCTGGGAGCATCTCTCCTGTTCTAAACAAAGAATCTGAAACGGAAGATGCAAGTCATCAACTGAATGTACTTCGAACTCAAGATCTAGTTAGTGGAATGAGGACAGATGACATAAGAAACTCTGGCTCGAGCTCCATGTTTACTCCATTTCAATCTGAACAATCAGTAGATGCATCGCCACCACCAAATCCTTGTTCACCAAACTTTCTAGAAGCCTCTATTAAGTCGAGTGACTCAACCAATGAAACACCGGCACATCAGGACAAGAGGTCAGAGTGTTCAGAGGAGGATCAGGCCCATCAGGGGCATGTCTCTACTCCTGTAGGTGATCGGAGTTCGAGTAGCAGTCTGTGCAATGGTGGTGCGAGCCATAACAACAGCGTGGGGGGCTATGGAAGCAATTGTGGAAGTAACAGTGATGTGGAACAAGGTGCCATGATCAAGGTTGAAACGGAGAGCAACAAAAATGAAGGTGGAGGAGCAGGTTCCTTCTCAAATGTCAAAAGCTCTACTAGATCGGTCCAAAGAGAAGCCGCTCTAGCCAAATTCCGGCTGAAACGCAAAGAAAGATGCTTTGACAAAAAGGTAAACATACCCTCCCTGCTTAGTCTACCCAATGTCAAATGCCTGTCATTTTGAGTGCATTTTGCTGATGCAAGGTTCAAACATGTATGCCTACAGGTTCGATATGAGAATAGAAAGATGCTTGCTGACAAGCGTCCGAGGGTGAAAGGGCAGTTTGTTCGTCAAGTCCCAGCTGCAGCCCCTCGTTTAGAAGTCGAAGTCGAGCAATAGTTATCGCCACTGTAACTTGGTACATCATGCATTTAGCTATTCGATTTGGTTTTTGGTCCAGCTACTGATTCTTATTAGGCGGGTTGGCTAGTGTGGAAACAAGAACCTCTTTAGATAGATATCTATGGTATACACCTTATTTAGACATACGACCAAGCCTTTCCTTTCCTTTCCGCTTAAGGCCGGTTGGTTTGTAGATCGGGTTCTTTAGTTTGTTTAGGAAACAGCGGCATGTATGTTGTAATTCATCATTGTTGAGATCTGTTCAAAACCTGTCTGCAGATTTTCCTCACCAGAGTAGGGCGGTTTTTCGCCGGTGTGTGCAGTTTGTTTGCTGGTTTCTCTTCTTCTCTAGAACAAGGCCTGTGTGCAGCTGCAATAGCTTGATTTCTGCTTGTACTGTTTGGACTTGTGATTATGACTTGGTTGGACCGTTGATAATGATGATATTATTGCTACATTACGTGATTGCCAAACGGGCCCTTACTGAATAGAACTTCTCCAGGAATAGACTATTGTCATAAATAATATGGACCATTTGAGCAGCCAAGTGGCTACTGTCAAAAAAGGTGGCCAAGTGGCTACTGTCAAGCTGAGTGATGATCCTCCATTCCCTAAAGCTGGATCCAATCCCTCTTATCATTTTCTCTGCCCACTTCTCATCCATGGAATTGTATCCATCCTTTTGTTTAATGCATGGGTCAATTTTCTTTTTCTTTTGTGTTTCTACATATTTTGTTAAATCGCAACCGACACAAATTATATCAATTGCTAAACTATCACAACAGTATAAATCAATTTGACGATGTTTCGTACTACCTCCACCATGATTGTTATGTCTCTGAAGTCTGAACCACCAGTCAACTATCCTCAGAGTTATACTTGTCTACTTATTTATTTATATATTTATTATGGTTAGTTTGCAAATTATTTATGGACCAAGTGAGAGAAAAAAAACAAAGAAAATTCTACGAGAATACGGACCACACAAATTTATTGATTAGTTGGACTTCAAAATTTCATAAACTAATAAACAAATAATACTACAATAACCAATCTTGAACCACAGTTTTAAAATCGTAACTATATCCACAATTAAAACTATGGAGGAATGTAATATGATTTAACAAAATTAACCCTTATATGGCCCGAAGAAAACTCACATGCATCATCCCCTAGCAATCATATATAAAGCTCTTGACGTTATCTAAAAATTTATTAGAATGCCGATATACTAAAAGTTCAGGATAAATGTGACATTTCCCCATAAAGTAATTTTATACAAGTCAATACATAAAATAAAATTTCAACAACCCAACAATGTATTATTAAAATGCATACATTGTATCAATACATGTATTTATTTTGTTGTGGTTCATTACAATGCAACGATTTAACATTCGCAACTTCCAAACCATCCCTTAGTTGAAGTTTCTTTGTCACACTGTTTATAAAATTCTTAGAAAAATTAAATTTGGGATCTCAAAGATAATTATAATATTTTAGAAATAAAATGAACGAAATGCTCAATCATACTCTATTTCGAATTTCCTATACTAGCATATTATTTATCTTTATATATATTTGGGCCTATGGGGAACAAAATGATAACCATACTATCCGAACCTCAAACGCCACTGTCAGTCTGTCACTAACCACAGCTCGCTAGCGCCACGGCCCACAACCGCAATTCACCGACGCCGTCGCCGGAAGCGTTATCAACATCATCGCAAAATCACTCCAACGGCCAACATGGCAAATCCAGAGCAACAGATGCAGCTGGTCTTCATCCCATCCCCAGGCGTCGGCCACCTAGCCGCCATGGTCGAACTCGCCGACCTCCTCGTCCGCCGCCGCCCCGCCCTCTTCATCTCCGTCCTAATCATCACCACCCCTTCCACCGCCGCCACCGTCACCCGCTACACCGACTCCCTCCCCGCCTCCCCGCGAATCGACCTCCTCCACCTACCCAACACCGACGCGCCCCCGGCCGCCGGCGGCGATTTCGCCATGATCGAAACCCAAAAGCCCCGAGTCCGAGAAGCCGTCTCCGCCGTAATCAACCGCTCCCGCGGCGGCGCCCGACTCTCCGGGTTCGTCCTCGACATGTTCTGCACCTCGTTGGCCGACGTGGCCGGCGAATTCGCCGTCCCGTCCTACATTTTCTTCACCTCCCCCGCCTCTGCCCTCGGGTTCGTCCTCCACATCCAGGCCGCGCACGACGGCGAGGAGCGATTCGACGCCACCGAGTTTCGGGGAACCGAGTTGGCCGTACCGAGTTGGGCAAGCCCGGTCCCTCGCTCGGCTTTCCCTACCAACGTCACGAAGAAGGAATGGGTCCAATTTCTGTACAGAATCGCCAGAGACATCAGGGGAAGCAGGGGAATTTTGATCAATACGGTGAGGGAATTCGAATCCCACGCCGTGGATTCTCTCTCCTCCGCCCTCAAGGTGTATCCGGTTGGACCGATTCTCAACCTGAAGGGCGGCGACACCGCCGCAGGAGGGGCGGCGGCGGAGGCGATTGAGTGGCTGGACCGGCAACCGGAGTCGACGGTGGTTTTCCTCTGTTTCGGGAGCATGGGAGCGTTTCCCGAGGCGCAAGTGAGGGAGATTGCCCGTGGGCTGGAAGCCAGCGGGCAGAGGTTTCTCTGGTCGCTCCGCCGGCCGGGACAGGGAGGGCCGCGAGCCACTCCGACGGACTACGAGAACGTCGGGGAAGTTCTGCCGGAAGGGTTCGCTGACCGGACGGCGGAGGTCGGGAGGGTGATAGGGTGGGCTCCACAAACGAGCATTCTGGCTCACAGAGCCGTCGGAGGGTTCGTGTCGCACTGCGGGTGGAACTCGACGCTGGAGAGCGTGTGGTTCGAGGTGCCGATGGCGACATGGCCGATGTACGCGGAGCAGAAGCTCAATGCGTTCCTGCTGGTGAAGGAGCTCGAGATAGCCACGGAGATCAGGATGAGTTACAGCAGCGAGAGCGGGGAGATCGTGACGGCGGATGAAATCGAGAGAGGCGTCAGACAATTGATGGAGAAGGATCGCTCGAGGGAGGCGAGACTGAAGAGATTTAGCGAAGACATCAAGAAGGCGTTGATGGATGGTGGATCTTCGTCGTCTTCGATTGCTGAATTTTTTGAGGATGCGAGTAATGGTGCCATGTGATTCTTCCTACTATTATCCATGTTCCATGAAAACGTACTAGAGATTGTACCGGAAAAGTCAGTGGTACGTTATTCTATGACAAAATCGTGGTTTAATCGTAGTTCAATCGTTAGAACCGTTAAATACCGCCTGTCATTTAACTTCCGATACTAATATTTTGTTGTTGAACTGCTGTTACGGTTTTATGGAACATGAATAGTATCGAGTTGTTAAGTTGAACTAAGATCATCAATCATCACATCGCACCATTTCATAGTTTCCAATTTCATTTCCCCAATTTTTTTATGACTCGCAATTCAGTTTTCTTAGCTGAAAAGTAAAAACAAGGAAGAAAAGTTTTCGAAATGAAGACAATAATGAGACAAAGCTTTGTTGAGAGATTCTCCATGTCTTCTTCTCCTTTTTTTTTTTTTATCTTTCTTGTGAAACCTTTCGGGTAAATGACACATTTGGTCACTGAGATTACTAAATCGTGTCATATTTAGTCACTAGATAAATTTATTATCAATTTTGGTCACTCGAATTACTGACACAGGTCACATTTGGTCACTCTTCTGTAGCCTCTGTCCAACTCCGGTCACTCGAATTATTGAAAAATGTCACATTTAGTCACTCGTATTACTGAAACATGTCACATTTAGTCACTCTCCCAAAAGTTTCCGTCCAACTACATTAATGGAGTTGGACGGAAACTGACGGGAGAGTGACTAAATTTGACCAATTTCGATAATTCGAGTGACCAAAATTGATATTAATTTTTTCTAGTGACTAAACATGACACAATTTAATAATCTCAGTGACCAAATGTGTCATTTACCCGAAATCTTTCTATGCCTATGGTCCTAAAAGGAAAGCAGTATATCTCCAAGTCAATCAGTGCTAAAGTTGAAACCCACTTCTGTTCCTGCACAAATCTCACAATTTAACCATAATCAAGACAGTCTCAAACGTATATGTCAAAATCTCTGTATTTCGTAATAAAAGAAAGAAAGAAAAGAAAAAAAACTCACTAAACTACCACTCCAAGTCATTTCTTTCCAATACTGCACTCAACAACATCAACCAAGGAACTAAAAGGCTATTATCAATGGCTATAGCTAATCAAGGTTCTTGCTTTGCTTCCATATCTATCTCTTCTTTTCTATCCGGCCTTCTTTATTACTGTTGGGGTAGTAGAGAGGAGCCCATTGGGCCTGGTTGAAAGAGAGGAAAGGGGCTCATGGAAGGTAAGAGCCTGTTGGGCCTGAAGCCTATTTCTGGCCCACAAGAGTATGACCTAGGTGATTGTGAAGGAGCAGGGGGCGCATGACGACAAAATAGGCTCGCAGACAAGGGAGTACAGGTGGACAAGGTCAGAAGGGCGCCACGAGGCAAGTGGTCCTCCTATGCGCCCTGACGTGGAAAATGGACGGTGTGCCACGTGTAGGCGCGTAGGCGCCAGGGGAGACCGAGCATTTAATGCTAAACTGACATATGCCTTGGTGGCAGAAGTTGGTCGGAGCTTGGTCGAGGAGCTCGAGTAGTATAAATAGCACTTGGTAGGTAGCATTTAAGCAGGTTGGTCTTTCTCACACTAAACTTCTTTCTTCACTTCTCTCTCTAGAGTCACACCTGACTTGATCGTTGGAGTGCTAACGGACGGGTATAGCCCTCTAGGCGCCCGTCCTGCAGGGTTCAAGCGCTTGGCGTGGGGCAGTGGGAAGTGACACGTGGAAGAGGGAGTATCCGGGCTTCAACAATTGGCGCGCCAGGAAGGGGGCGCTCGGCAAGATAGAAAGGATGGAGGACTTGAATGTTGGAAGTATAGGCGCCGAGGATGCGAGAACGGAGAGTTCCAGTCCGGAGGGGAGTGAGCGGAGGTCAAGCCCTATAGTGAGCATGGACGTGGAGGGCGAGAGCCGCGAGCGCCCGTCTATGGAGAGTGATTCGGTGTCAAAGAGGGAGCTGTTCAAGATTATTGCAGACCAAGATCGAGCGATAGCAATGCTTCGGAGGGAATTGGAAGGAGGAAGGAGCGTTGATACAAGGGAGTATAGCCCCCCAGTGAGGAAGAGGGATAGGCTCATAGATGATTCGGAGGTTAGCGAGTATGGGCGCCCGAGCTATGAGGGTCTTAATCCTGAGGTAACACCGCCCAGGCGCCCGGGCGTGTGGAGGGCGCCAGGCGAGTGGACCATCCCGGTGCCGGAAGAACAGAACCCATGGACGCCCAAACGTCAGGCCAGGCGCTTCGGGATCAGACAACCCTTGGCGCAGAGTGTGTTAATGGAGCCAGCAGGAACTACACTCCCACCGCTGACCAGCTATGATGGAGTCACTGACCCAGAAGATCATCTGAATAGCTACTTCACGAAGATGCAATTGTACAATAGCACGGATGCCACGTTGTGTAAGGTGTTCCCTTCGACGTTCGCAGGGGTAGTTTTGGATTGGTATCATCAGTTGGAGGAGGGGCGCATAGAGTGCTTTGAGCAATTTGCAGAGCTATTCTTGTCCAAATTCGCCAGCCGTAAGAGGCGGACGTTGACTATAGGCGCATTGTTTAAAATCAAGCAGAGAGAGGGGGAGGCGCTCAGAGAATTCTATGACCGATGGATTTCGGTCGCCATGGCCGTGAAAGATGTGCAACCGCCAGTCCTGGGAGTGTGTCTGGAGGAGTGCACAAATAGTGAGGAGTTGTGTCGTGTGCTGTCTAAGAGGGCGGTAGTGTCAACTGAAGATCTGGACCGAAGGGTTCAGAAGGTTATTGCCTTGGAGGAAACGTTGGCCGCGAGGAGGGCAGAGAAAAGGCGTGTTGGCAGAGAAGAAGTGGAGATGCGCCAGGCGCCTAGGCCATTCATTATGAACAACGCTCCACCAAGGAGGATGGATGGTCAGCGCCCACCACCCAGGAGTGCGGGAAATTTCACGGAATACAACGACTCTCTGAAAAACATTCTGCAATACGTAAAGGACAGAGGGTACCATGTGCGCTGGCCGGGGCCTATGCGGGGACAACCAAACGAGCGGAACCTTGATCGGTATTGTGATTTTCACCGGGATAAGGGGCATCACACGGCTGATTGCTACCAACTGAAATCGGAGTTGCAGACGTTAGCTGATCGAGGAATGCTCAACGACTTCATAAGAAAGACGGAAGAGAGGACACACCGCGCGTATGTCACAAGAGAGACGAGGCCAGCGCCTGCTGTGGTGGCTGGACCTAAGGCGCCCGCTCCTCCCGTCGTACAACAGGCGCCTGGTAACCTCCCAGCGCTGGAGGCCCACCCACCTCTACTTGAAATACCCCCTCCCCCATTCGAGTTGAATCAGGAAGGAGAACCCAACCGGGTTAGGCTCACGGTGGAATCCATAACCGGAACCGTCGATCTGCGGGACAAGTTGGACCGGTCTAGGCGCCTCCGGGCCGCATCTGTGGAGGCGAAGGCGGCGGTGCAAATATGCTTTAATCGGGAGGCGGAGGAAGCATGTCAGGTGCCGTCGGAGGAAGCTTTGGAGATCCAGGGAATCATTGCAGGGTGTAAGGTCAAGAGGATGTTGGTGGATACGGGAAGTTCGATGGATGTCTTGTTCAAAAGCACGTTCGAGCGCATGCAGCTAGCGCCGGAGTTGGTGAGTCCCTCCGATTCGGTGCTGATAGGGTTTTCGGGAGCGCCTGCCCACGTGATCGGGCGTGTGCGCCTTCCGGTAACATTGGGCGACGAAGTACACCGAGTGACACATGCCGTGGAGTTTGGGATAGTGGATTGCCCTTCGCCGTACAATGTCATACTGGGAAGACCACTGTTGGCGTTATTCAATGGGGTAGCCTCGACTTGCCACCAAACATTGAAGTTCGTCGCCCCACAAGGCATAGGAATTTCACGAGGAGAATGCGCCCCCCGCTATGCTCGAGAAGAGGAAGGAAAAAGGAAGGGCACACGGAGACACCGAGTAAACAACATTGACGTTCGATCGGAGGACGCGCCTAGAGCAGAGCCTATGGATGATGAGTTCATGGTACCAATCGAAGAAGGGCGCCTGGACAGGCAGGTACGAGTGTCAGCGCAGGCTCCTGAACACATGAGGGCGCCCTTGATCGAATTGTTGCGAGAATTTGGGGAGCTATTCGCTTGGAGTCCCCAGGATATGCCGGGAGTGTCACCAAATGTGGCGGCGCATCGATTGGCTGTCGAGGAGGGAAAGAAGCCTGTTCAACAAAAGCGAAGGAACTTGACCCAAGAGAAGGAAGAGGCTCTAAGGAAGGAAGTTGATAAGTTGCTCGAGGCTGGGTTCGTTGAAGAAGCCAGGTACATCACATGGCTATCGAATGTAGTGTTCGTCCCAAAGCCGTCGGGAGATTGGAGGATGTGTGTGGACTTCACAAACCTTAATCGGGCGTGCCCCACAGACGCCTACCCCATGCCTCGCATTGATATATTAGTGGACGCCACGGCTTACCACGAGGCGCTCAGCTTCCTTGATATGTTTTCGGGGTATCATCAGATTCCCATGGTGGAGGAGGACAGAGCGAAGACCGCCTTCATGACGCCCTTTGGTAACTTCTGCTATAAGGTGATGGCATTTGGGTTGAAGAATGCGGGTGCCACGTATCAGCGTATGGTGAATCAAATCTTTAGGAGGCAGTTGGGAAGGAATGTGGAGGCATACGTCGACGATTTGATTGTGAAGAGTAAGAGGCGCCAGGACCACATCGTGGACTTGCGTGAGACATTTGAGACTATGCGCTCGTATAAGCTACGTCTAAACCCACAGAAGTGTGTGTTCCTTGCGGAGGCTGGCAAGTTTTTGGGATTCATGATCACGAAGAGAGGAATCGAGGCCAATCCCAAGCAAGTTGAAGCAATTATGAGGTTGGCGCCTCCCCGAACACCGAAGGAGGTGCAGGGATTGACGGGAAGGTTGGCAGCGCTTGGGCGCTTCATTCCGAGGTCCTCGGATAGGGGCGCCCCTTTCTTCCGAACATTGAAGAAGGCTAGCAAGTTTAAGTGGACGGAGGA